AGATATTGGCTGGGATTGGGTGCTGCTAACTCAAATATTAATTGCAGAAAATTGTTAAATACTTCTTTACATAAAAAAGTGTTTACTCATTTCCTATAAACTGTTTCATGGGATGGGTGGCAGAGCTGCAAATGACTGCTAGACCAAGATATTCATCTCTTAAAATATTAGTCTTATATTTGTTCATTAAATTCATTCAGATAATATTTGTGGAGTCATTTTGGGCGGTCTAGGCAGTGGGAGATACTACAGAGACCAAGATAGACATTGTTCCTGTTATTGGAGCGATTATGTTCTAGTGAAGGGGGCAGAGGATAAAAAAAATAAATACACTAATAAATAAATATCATTTGTGAAATAAGAAGTGAGATGAGCCAGAGAATCACTAAGGGCAGAGTTAGGGAAAGTGTCTTTGGACAGGGGAAATCTCAAAGTCCCATCTGAGAAAATGGCATTCAAGTTGATGAACAAGATGAACTTAATGATGAACAAGAATGAGGAAAAAGTTCTAGGCACAGAAAAACTACAGAATTCACCGGCAGGTACACATCTCCAAAGAAACAAAGTAAATATTCCATTTTTTTCTCCTAACAACCTCTGGATACTTCCAAACCTACTTTCAATGTTACAAAAAACACTTCTTGGGCTTCCTTGAGAAGATCATGCGCCATACCTCACTAACCCTCATAGCCCTGGTATTTCACACAGTGCCTTGACATAGCGGGCAATCGAAAGATATTTGAGGGCCAAATAAATAAACAGGTGAATGAAGGGTTAAGCCACATGAATCTGGAAGATTTTCTAAAAGAAATTTTAAAATGTATGGTTCAGGGTGATGTTAGTAAAAGTGGCAGAGTAAGGACTCCAAAAACTCCCTCTTTAAAACCAATGAGAAATATGGTAAAAATGGTCGGAATCCACTTTTTCAGAAGTCTGGAAATTAACCAGAGGCTTGCAGCAATTCAGGGAGTGTTTATCCAAGAAAAATGGGTGATTCTTGGTTAAAAAAAAAACAAACCAGCACGCTTAATGACATTTTAATTTGCCCTATTGTCATGCCCCTCTCTAGAGCTCCTCAGTGACCGTGAATGCCACTAGCCTGCAGGCACATCACAGTCAGAAGCCCAACTGCCACCAGAGGGGCTACAACAGTCAGAACTACTCCAAAGCCTCATTCCTAGAAAATCCTCATTGTTGGAGCTGACAGTTCCCTGCAAAATCCCACTTATAAAACTGTCTTGATCTGACTTGACCTGGAGCTCCCCAGAGGAAGTCTTTTCCTCAGGGGTGTTTGCTGAAAACTTTTAAAGATTATTGTTTAACTTGACTGCTACCTGAGGCAATAGATAACAACTGGGACAGACAACAAGTAAACCAAAATCATTAAAGAACGAGAAAATGAGATGTCCTGTGGGCTTTGAAGAGGCCCAGAGCATTCCTAGAAATACTGAAGGCCAAGGGTAGTATTGAACAAATGCCCAGAGCTTTACTCATGCTCAGAAAAAATCTGAGAAGGTCCCAATGTCTCACCACAGGCTGACTTTGAGGTTATGTGCAAGCAGGAAGCGAAAGCTAAGGCAGAGTTGCCAACTACCTGGTCAAGTGTTGAAGGCATGCCTCAACATACACATAGAATCCATTAGCAAAGAATGGGAGACTTCTTGATTCCTAGTGTAAAGAAATCTCTGTCCAAGTATTCTGCAAAACTAACAAAGCAAAGACATAAGAGGCCACATATGCTAAAGAATACAAATGTTACAGAATTCGTTTTAAAAAGTCACTAAACAAACAACAATAAGCAGCAATAACAGTAAATCCTGAGAATCTAATTCCAGAGTTGCCACATTGTAATATTAAAAATATCCAGTTTCAGCAAAAAATTATAAGACATACAATAATATGAAGTAAGACAGGAAACAAGAAAATATAGATGATACAGAGAAAAAAAGTAATCAATAGAAACTATCCCTGAAGAAATCCAAATGTTGGGCTTACTAAAAAAAGACTTTAGATAGTTTAAATATATTCAAAGAACTAAAGAAATCATGTCAAAGAACTAAGTAGAGAATATCGATAAAGAGATAGAAATTATAAATAATAAGCATTAGGACAGAAATAAATGAAATAAACACTAGAATATCAATAGAAAAACTAAAATCAAACAAAATCAGCAAAACCAAAAGTTAGTACTTTGTAAACAATATGAACAGCTCTGTAGCTACATTGATCAAGCAAAACAGAAAAGAAAAAGGACACAAATTACCAAAAGGAAGATGCGAGATGTTCTCATTATGACCTAACAGAAAGAAAAAATATACGGGGAATACTATGAATAATTGTATGACAACAAGTTAAATAATCTAGATGAAATAGGTAAATTCCTAAAAAGGCACAAAACTGACTCAAGAAGAAACAGATAATCTGAATAGGCCCATAATAAGTGGAAAAATCAAGTTTAAAACAACAACAACAAAAACCTCTCACAAGGAAAATCTCTGATTTTCCAAATTACTTCACTGGTGAATTATGCCAAATGGTTAACAAAAAATTAACATCAATCCTTCAAAAACTCTACAAAAAATAGAAGAGTAGGTAACATTTCTAAAGTCATTCTGTAAAGCCAGACTTATCCTAATACTAAAACCAGACCAAGACATCGCAAGAAAACTATAGACTAATATCCCTTATTTTTTTTTAAAGATTTTATTTATTTATTTTTAGACAGGAGGGAAGGGAGGGAGAAAGAGGAGAGGCATATTAACATGAGAGAGGAACATCAATCTGTTGCCTCTCCTACATGTCCCTACTGGGGACCAAGCCCACAACTCAGGCATGTGTCCTAACCGGGAATCAAACTAATTACCTTCCACTTTTCAGTACGATGCCCAACCAACTGAGCCACCAGACCAGGGCTAGACTAATATCCCTTATTAATGTCAATGTACAATTCCTCAACAAAAGCTAGCAAACTGAATCCAGCAATATGTGTATATAAAAATTACGCTTTATGGATTATACACTGTGACTAAATAGGATTTATCCCAGGAATACATGGGTGGTTCAACATCTGAAAATCAGTTTGTAAAACATCACAATATAAAACATTATGTTAAGGGAAAGAAACCAGACACAAAAGACCAAGTATTCAATAGTAGCCTTTACCCTTAAATTTGTTTTATAAGAAATTTGGGCAAAGTGCCTGTGATGGGTTCCAGGAGTGAGTTTTGAGCCACAGAGATGCAGAACTGCAAATTCACTGAGGACATCTCCAAGAAGGAACTGTAATCTTGTGATACAAAAGAGCATAGAAATGGGAAAATTGCTATACTGACTCAGATTTTTGTTCGTGCACTCTAATGCTCTTCTTTGACAAGATCCTTTATACAGATGGGTACATGGACAACTTCCTTGATGTCATCCTTCAAAGACCTGTGGCGTCCTCTCACAGCATCTAAATTCCTGAGCTACTACCTGCATTGACCTGAATTGCTTCTGTAGAAGCATGTCAAGAAATGTTTGATACACTTTTTATAAATTGTTTTCAATTCTACAAGTCTTATAAATTGAAAGCACTGACATAAGTATAGCTATTACACTGGTGCTACTATTTGAAGGAGCAATTTTCTGCCAAAGGAGAACAATAGGTTTTAAAAATAAACCAGAACATGGAGAAAGAGAAAATGTTTTCTCGAACTGTGTTCAAAAGTTCAAGATTCAAACATTGTGGAAATTTAGATTAATGTAATACTTGTGGCCTTGGAGTCAGATAGGTTTCTCACATTATTCCCACAATTCCCCTCTGTACCTTTTTATTTCCTAAAGACCAAGGATTTGGGGAGCCCTAGGTCAGAAGGCTCTAGTAAGTAAATGGTAAGGGGGAATTTAGGAGAATCAAGGATACACTCACTTTTATCATTTGTAGACAGCAGGCATGCACATTCCCATTAGCTTTGTAGAGGTCAGCTCCACAAAGGCAGTCTTCTCTCAGATTCACCACAGGATCTCCACATCTAACTTGTTAGCACTGTTGGTACTGAATGATTCTAATGCTCACCATTTCTATGAGGTGAGACCAAGCATCTGCTCATTTACACTCAAGGCTCAGAACAGTATGGTTCAGATATTCCTGTTGGTCTAGCCAATTTGCTTTTTGGTTTAACTAAGTAAGAAGCAGTTGAAAGTAAATTTAAAATTCCAAATAAAATGCTTTCAGCAATCATGAAGTCGGGAAGGTTAAGTGTTCATTGTCATCATACTTTTTGTCCTACTACTATATTGTTTTCTTCACTCTCCCCAAAATAAGAATACATAATTTGACTTACTAATTAAGGTTTTTTAAAGATCTACTCCCAAAACAGGTCAAATTATGCTGAATAAGTAATTTAGCCCTCTTCATTCAAGGTTATTTCTGCTTTTCAAAAAAAATTACAAAGAAAGATCTAGAATTGAAAAAAGAAAGAGAAAGGCAGCCACCCTGTCTGTGGTTTTATCCCCCGAAATCTCTAACAACAATAACTTTAAAAATAATTCCTTTGGTGGTAAAATGTTACCTAATCTCCCTACCCCATTAGTACTGTTGTATAACATATGCAATATGCGCCATATTATTTTTATGAAATGTGGAAAATCCTGATTCCAAAACTATAGACTTGTCACTCAGTTGAGGTAAGGGGCCAAGAGACTAGCAGAAAAAACCCTGCACATTCAATATTTATGTTTATGTGGGGAAGTTAAGCAAGGCACCATCTCCCTAGCATTTGCCATCATTTCAAAATAAGGGAGTTAGGCAAGATGACTTCTAAAATCCTTGACAGTAATTAAATTCTAGGATTTTATCTGATCCATGTATATCCTAAAATATAACAAATTACCAGTATGCTCAGTTTTGGACAATAATGAATTTCTACAGAATTATGGGCATTTGACTTTGTCTATGATGTGTAACAAGTGCACATTATTAGATGTCTCTTCAATTATGTAATTTAATTCAGTTTTAGTACCTGCTGTGCCAAACACAGATGATATGCTTTCCATAATGGCCTTGTGGATACTGGGTTGAGAGAGAACAAATCCAAGTGTCCAAAATGCAATCTTAAAAAGAAAAACATATCAAAAAATACAACTTTCTTTGAAAGTAAATAAAAGCACACTTAATATCAGGCTCAAGCATTTAAAAGAAATAAGGAGAATGTTTAAATCAAACTTAAACATATGTTAGTAAAGAGTGTCTTTGAAAACAACTAGATTTTATGAACGAAAGAGATGTTATTTATCTCTAAGAGGTTCAATTTATAATTTTATTCTCTTACTATATTGTTTATATAGATTAATCCATATTCACTAAAAATGTGATAAGTAGGATTATTTTACTAATATACAATATGAAATATTACATAGGCACACAGTAAATATTTAGAAACAAAAAAATTATGCCACTTAAGAATGTTAGTCCAAATCCAAAACAAAAATATTTTTCAAGATTTAATTTCCTTGAAATACAAACGAATTTTCAAGTTATATATTCTGCAAATGAAACATGGCAATTTTAAACAAGTCCAAGAAACTATACCTAAAATCTCAAACAAAATTATGAGAGGACTTAGTATCAAAAATGGGGTCTTTTCACATCCTATTGAATGTGACAAGGCGCTCAAAAGTTCATAGGGGTGCTACTGAACATAGTAGGCTTGCAAGTTCTCTCTCTAGACCAAACTAAAGTATTTCCAGTATTTTCTCATTGCGGAAGTATAAAATAAAATACATTTCAAAAATTACCTTTCCCTTAACTCAAATAAATGCTTTTACTTCTATTTTTAGGTTTCACAATAGAGGAAACCTATATAAAATCATTAAAAGAAGCTTGAATTTTGTTTTTTCTTTTTTTTTTTTCAGTAAACATGTATTATGAAAGAAATTTCGTCTAAGAAAACCAGTCCTAAAATGACTCAGACAACACTTTGTATGTTGTCTTTTTGTCCCTTTTGCAAAGTAACTTTTGGTACCAACACGCCCCTCTGTGGTCAAAAGAGGAAAAGCAATTGTGTGAAAGAGCTTTGACAAAGCCTGGGTCAGTGCTGCGTAACATCTCCCCTCTGTGACAGGAAACAGACAGGGAAGGGATAACTGTGGTAAACACAAGCCACGACAATCAGAGACCCACTGTCTGTGGCATTTTCCAGATTAAGAAAGAATTACCCTAAAGATCATCTAGTGTATTTTTACAGTAGAAGCAAGATGCTCAAAGAGCTCTCTCCTGCCTCCCCATTCAGACCCCTTCTACTATTATCTATAGGTGGAAGTGCTGAATTACTGCAATCAATTAATAATGACTCCATATGCAATTCATCTTATTTAAAGAGTCAGAGATCATGTTGGGAGAAAAAATCTTAGTGATTGTCCATAGACTTTCCGTTACACAAAAGAGGGGTCTAAGGTTTTAATGTGCTTAATTAGAGTTCTAGAGATTCACTAAAATTGGTTAATACTTATTTTAATAACAACCACAAGGAATTCAGCTAAACTATAAATAGCTGTACAATGGTGCTAGTTATCATTTTAATGCTTTCTAAAAATAGATTTTGCTTCTAAAATCTTTATTTTCTACTTTAGAAAATGGAATTACTTTTTTAAAAATAAAAGGCACATAAAAGGGTAAAAAGTAAGACATTTATATACATTACTGAATCAACAAACAAGAAGTGACCTTGAGGTCTTTGTTCACCCATATGTGGGAAAGCAGCTAAAAAGTGCTCCCAAAAGTACCAATTAACATTTTCCAAATGGGTCAAGTCCGTGGCGTAGGCTGGCACAAAGGGGAAGGGCCACCTGGTCCAGTGAACTTCAGAAACAGTCACTACCATGCCCTTCCATTGTCTGGGAGAGGCAAGAACAAAGGTGGTAAGAGACAGAGAGAAAAGCTCTGCCTCGCTGTGCCATGAAGAGGGTGAATGGAGTGTGTTCTTCAGCATTATTTATTCCCTCATTCAAAAGATAAGATAACAAATACGGATGGAGTCTCTATAACATATTAGACAGTCTTTGACCAATCATGGTAAACACAAATCTGTATTAAGACACAATTCCTGCCCAAAGAACCTTCACATCTAGCTGGGGGTATGAGATGAAAAAATAGCTAAACAGACAGGAACTGGGAGGCACAGACCACAGATGCCATGGGGGTGTGGGGAGGGACGTGAGGGTCACTGCTGAAAATGCTGACAGAGAGCTTCAGAGAAGAAGATAAAAAAGGAAAAATGTCAATTTTGAGATTGGACACAAAAATGTTCTTAAATAGTTCATTTGGTAGTCAGAAATTTCTTGGAACTTGGAAATGGTGTTAACATGGAAACAATTTCATAAATCATGGTTACACTTTTGGGCCGGTCCACCAAAGTTCGCCTAAGTGGTAACGGAGCCTCCCAGTGGCGTGTACCAAGACTATCTGAAGCTTGACCTCGGAGTCCCATGGGCCTTAAGGCAGAGCACAGAAGAAGACAAAAGCCAAGAATATGATCTGGGTACAAAAAAGTGTCAGCCCCACCACTGCACTTCTGGCAGGGTTTTCGGCAGCTCTCTGGGCAGCGATGGGGGATCACAGAAACCAGGACAGCAGTGGCCGCTCCTACCCTGGAGTGGTCGAGTTTTGGAAGCCAGGGCAGTTAATTACTAATGGTCCATGGAAAACAATGACTGACTGAAACCACGGCTTTACTTTTATAAGAGAAGAAAGCTAACCTTCATTGAGCACCTATTTTGTACCATGGACTGTTAGCCACTTTCCATTTGTTACCAATATAATCCTCCCAACTACCCTCTGAGGTAGATATTAAACCTATGTTACAAATGAGGACTCTGAGGCTCAGAGAGGCTAAACGATTGGCCCACTGTCACCCAGGACTGGGACGTGGCTCTGGACCTGACCTAAAGCCTTTCCAGGGTCTCTGCCCACCCAACAGCTGACTCTGGGAAGTGCCAGCAAAAGCCAGCAAGATGGAACTTTGACTAATCATCAGACACTTCCTTTCTGAAATTAATGATTTAAGTCCTTTCAGAACAGTGCCAGGAACAAATTCCAAATAACTGACTTCCCCTGTGTCAGATCAATGGGGCTTTGTGTCCCTTTCTTCTGGGGGACCTTTCTAGTAGGATCTTGAAAATTAAGCCTCTGACAGGAATGGCTGTTTTGTTGCTGCTTTGGGAGTTGTTTTGATGTTTGCTTTTTAATTTTGCTATTGCTAAATCAGTTTCCAAGAAAATTATGTAAGGAAAGATCAGAGAGCAATATTAGTGGTACATAAAAAAGGGGAAAGGATTGATTAAACTGTTTTATATATTCCAGTAGTTGACACACATTTGGGCAGAGAGGCTAGAATTTCTATTTCTGCCCTTTACCTAGTAAGTTTTAAAACAGGTTAAAGGAAACTAGAATATTAGTATTTAGAAAGACTTTAACACCCTGACCTACATAAGAGAAAGGAGATATAAATAATACTAAACACATCTTATTTCTCTTTGTTAGATGAAAAAAAAAATGACCACATTCATCATTAGAGATGACTTGAATGTTCCTGTTAAGTAGAAAACAAATACATAAAAAAAGGCCACTGTTTAATTTCTTAGATGTTATAAGTACATCTCAAGTTATTGTGAAATCCGTCTGACACAGGAAACTGGCGTGCATCAGGCATGAAGTGGCAGACAAATCTCATGGCTTTAATCTAGATCATGACAGCTTTTTTAAAAAGTTATAAAGTATCCACTCTCTTTAGAATTATTGGGAGGTCCAACGTCACCAGCTGCCTTGATGGGGAAGCTTACAGGACAGAGATGTCAGGTGACGCACACAGAATGGTGCACGGAAGGGGAAGGGACAGGGGAAGACAAAGAGCTCACATGCACCAGGTATCGGGCTCATCTCAAGTCCTCACAACAACCTGGCAGAGAAATCAGAGTTACTAGGAATAATTGCCCGAGTCCTAGGACCTTAGGAGGAGTTTCCTTATCCCTTTTTTACTGATAAGGAAATGGAGGCTCAGAGTTTAAACTGCCTTCATGAGAGTCTACAGCTGTGAATGGGATATTTGGATTCGAGCCCAATTCTATCTGAAACTATGCATTTACCTACTCTCTCCGGAAGAAAAGGTAGGGGTCCAGCCTTATTCGGCTCTGCAGCACTGACACTAAGCACACTGCCTGGCAGAGAAAGCGCTCCATGAGCAAGTGTTGTCACAACGGACCCCAGAGTGCAAACTGTTCCCTCTGCCTGTGACATGCTACATTTCAGTATCACAGAAGCACTGCAGATCTCTCTCTGCTTTGCCTCCTCTGTGATCTTATCAGATTTCATTAGATATTGTTTTAGTTTTCTATTTCAGAAGCAACACCATTCCAGTCTTTTTCTTCCCCTAAGAAGTAAAAAATAAAAAGAAGGGGAAAATTGAAGTGCACAGACAGAAATGTAACCCTTACCTCACGAATATACTTACAGGGGTAGCGTTGGACAAAGAGGCCCAAAGTAGTAGAAGCCCATAATTGGGACTTTGCTCATTTGTTTCTGTCTCTATGACATCCAGCAAAGCCTGCATTAGTGTCTGTGTTAAGAGAAATAGATATTGTCAAACCATGGCAATGGGACAGAGACTGATGTTCATAAACAAAAGACCACACATTTTTCTTTAATCCAATAGGTATTATTTCTGCCATTCCCAGGTTTGTAGTTTGAGGCATGCAGTTTGAGAAGATTCACATACTACTCCTTCTACATTAATTAGGAGTAGGGACTCCAGAGCTCAACTCCCTTACTATAGTGCTTCAAAATCTGCCTTAGTGTTTTGTTTTTTTTTTTAGACTTTATTTGTATTTACATTTACAAATTGAGAGGAAGGTACGGAGTTTTCCCATACAACCCTTGCCCCACACATGCACAACTTTCCCTATTATCAACATTGATCAGCAGGGTATTACATTTTTCAACAAGGATGCCTTAGGCTCTTGGTGTTGTACACTCTATGGATTTGGTCAGACTATAATGACATATATCTATTATAATCCATTCACATACTGAAAGGCACCTTGGTTACTTCCAAGTTTTGACAATCATGAATAAAGCTGCTATACACTCCTTTTGTTACATCCCAGAATTTGGCAGGTTGTGTTTTCATTTTCATTTGTCTGAAAATATTTTTAGTTTCTCCTAAGATTTCTTCTTTGACCCATGAGTTATTTAGAAGTGTACTGTTTAATCTCCACATGTTTTGGTATTTTTCTTTCTGACACTGATTTCTAGTTTAGTTACATTGTGTTCTGAAAGTAGCTATTATATGATTTCTATTTTTTCAAGTTTCTTAAGGTGTGTTTTATGGCCAAGAATGAATAGGCAGAGCATAGAGGATTTTTAGGACAGTGAAAATACTCTCTATGGATTGCCTAGAAGGAAGTTTCTAGCACTGATGGATATAATAGTAAAGAAGAAAGTTCTACAGTCAACTACAGAAATAAATTAAACCCAAAGTATGCAGAAGAAAAGAAAGAAAAATCAAGCAGAAATAAATGAAATTGAAAACAGGAAATCAATAGAGAAAGTCAATGAAATCAAAAGCTGGTTCTTTAAGAAGATCAGAAGATTAGAGGCTTGTTGATGCCTCTAGCCAGGCTAAGAGAGAAAAAAAAGAGAAACAACACAGGTTACTAATATTAGAAATGAAGGAGGGGACATCATTATAGAGCCCATGAAAATTAAAAAGATAATAAAGGAATACTTTCAACAACTCTTTACCCACAAATTTGATAACCCAGATGAAATAGACTGCCTCCTTGAAAGACACAATCTGCCAATATGCTCATAAGAAGAAACAGATGATCTAATTAGGCCTATAGCTATTAAAGAAATTGAATCCATAATTAATGACTTTCCAAAACAGAAAGCACCAGGCCCAGATGGGCTCACTGGTAAATTCTATGAAACATTTAAAAATGAAATTATACCAATTCTCTACAATCTCTTTCAGAGGATAGAAATGGAAGGAGTACTTCCTAACTTATTATATAAGGCCAGCATTACCCTAATACCAAAACCAGATAAAGACATTATAAGAAAAATATAGACCAACATCTATCATAAACATAGATGCAAAAATCTTCAATAAAATATCGGGTATTTGCCTGTTGGTCTCTCCAAACTTGGGGGCAGTGGTTTGCCCTATATCTTCCCTCTCTTATGGATCCAAGAAGAGTTGTTGATGTTTCAGTCTGTTCAGATTTTAACTTGTTGTTAGGATGAAATGGCAATTTCCAAGATACTTATATGTGGAACTAGAACTTGGCTTAGTTTTTTAAGAACTGGGTAATCTTGAACAGTTACTTTAAGCTTTCTGTGTCTCAGTTTCCTTATCCATAAAATGGTTATAGGATTGTTGCAAGAATTAAATAAGTTACCATGTTGACAAATGTTACTTAAAAAAAAAACAACACCTCTCCTCTTAGGAAAAGAAACACAGATCTCTGAAGCATTCAGGAGAAAACCCTGCCCCCATCCACCATGCAGATTCTCAGGCTACACACCATGGGAGAGAAGAGGGCCCAGCCAGTGCATTATAAATACTGTCATTTTCTAACAACCTGCAGAAAACTGACACTTAACTTGAATGGTACCAGGTCAGATTATGGCCCCATCAAAGGTTACCTGCTGTAGTTACTCTCAGGTCATCACACAAATACCATGAAGGTATTTTCTTCATTGAAAGGTTTCCCCAGATTTGCCTATGCCTGATCCCCATCATAAGGAAGAAATTCAGACACTATAACATCTTCATTAAGGTACCTGTGACTTTGAGTCTTAAATAACTCAGGTTTAGGGGATAGAAATAATGGTGGCTAATGTCTAGTCACTGCTCACTAAGGCAAGTACTGTTTTAGGTGCTTTCCAAGTATTTAACCCATTCAGTCCTCACTCAGCTCCAAGAAGTAAATACTGTTATCGTCACCATTTTATATTTGAGGAAACTGAAGTACAATTCACTTCGGGGACTTTGACAGGGACATATATCTGGTAGACGGGTGGGCTGGAATTCAGACCCTGTGCACGTGGTGCTGGCTCCAAAGCCAACACTCTTAGCTGCTACCCTCCACTGCCCTATCAGAGACACAATTGTAACTCTCATGTACGAGGGGTTAAGAGAGTAGCATTGTAGCGTAATGCAGTAGTTTGCTTCAGATCCTACAACACAGAAAATAACTATTAAATCACTATCAAAAATATATATATATATAGTGAGAGACAGTTGCTGTTATTTACTAAAGAATGTAATGTTTCAAAAGTGATTAACCACTCTAATCCCCAGTTTTTTGGGTATAAAATTGTGGTAAAATATAAATGAGTAATTAATCTGAAATGTGTAACACTATGCCTGGTCTGGAGTAAGCAACCCATAAATATTAGCAGTCTTATGGTTAATGCTTTTTATAATAATGAATTAGCAGGACTGAAAATAGTTTAAGTATAAATTTCATTTAAAGGTTGTTTTTTATCATACTTAAAATGGAAGCTGTTAAAACACAAAGTTTATATCTCATAAAAAATCCTATGGATGTATTTCATTCTTTTGATATGCTATTCTGTAAATGGAAATACTTGTTTAATACGAATCTAGACTCACACGGAAGAAATCACCACATTTGATAGTCACAATGTGACAAATGGCTGTATAATATTAAAAACAAAAACAAAAACTTCTTTCAGTCTTCTGCTTAAGTAGGCCATTGAAATCTACTTATGCAGAATACAACAGAATCTTTTATTTGTTTCGTAGCCCACATTTTTTTTAAATGTGGATGTCAAAACAGAAAACTTCTGGAGGGAAGCAGAAGCAATAGATACAAAAATGAAGTTAAACTGCTCATGAATGTTCACACTGAATTCTGTCCCAAAGTCTTAAACACTGGATGAACTTCAGCAAAATTCAAAATTTGTCTTGATTCAAATAGGGAGTTAGAGTAGCTACAATGTAAAAAGCCTAATGTCTTCAGAGTCAGACAACAGGAATTTTAGCTGGGGCATTCAAAACCCTTTGCTAGGCCTACAGATTCTGGATCTGAGTGCAGCTCTTATACACATATGGCTTTATCCCTAAATCCTGGAAAACAGTGAAAACAAAATGTTTGTCTGGGTCTGTTTGTGAAATAGAATCATTAGTTGAAACACAGTTTGTTAATGAAGGGTCTTCCAGTATAGTTTTCTCTTCCCTTTATTCAGGAGGAAGATGCTTCAACATTCAAACATTCCTTTTTTCCTAAGGCTGAGTTGTTTGTCATAACATTGGCTATACTAACTAAAAACAAAACCTTTTTGATGTGATCTTTAAATACTAAAAGATCTGAAGTGATTTTTTAAAAAATGGTAATAACAATGATAAACTTTCCGGTAGTCCTTACTATGTTCTAAGTGCTTTACAAACAAAGCTCATATAATCCCCACCATTCTGAGGTAGGCGACCAAGCTGAGGCCGCGGGATTAGTTTCCATACCCAAGGTCCTACAGCTGGGGACAAGATGAATCTCAGACCAAATGAATCTCAGTGTCTGCAGATGGGTCTGGAGAATCAAGTCATTTTCAAAAGCTCTCAGAGACTATAGTGAGCAGCCAGGGCTGAAAACCATTCGTTAGCATGCACTGGAACTACCTGGAAGTAGTTCCACACATTGCTAGGCTCCGCCCCAGTTTCTGACTGCATGGTTTCCAGGTGATGTTGGCACCAATGGTCTGGGGACCACACTTAAAGAACCAAAGAACTAGGATGGTTAAGACACTGATTCCTAGTGCCTAGCTTTAAAATTATACCATACAACCTCCTCGCGTTTGAAGAGAGAAAAAACTTGTGGCATCAAGAACAAAAAATTGGTACATTTACACAATGGAATACTGCACAACAGAAAGAAAGAAGGAACTCCTACCCTTCATGACAGCATGGATGGAACTGGAGAGCATTATGCTAAGGGAAAGAACCCAGGCAGTGAAAGACAAATACCATGTGATCTTGCTTATAAGTGAAACCTAATCAACAAAACAAACAAGCGAGCAAAATAGACCCAGAGACGTGGAAATAAAGAACAAACTGACAGTGACCAGAGGGGAGGCGGGAGGAGGATAACAGGGGAAGGAAGGGCAAGGGTCAAGGAACATGTAGAAAGGACCGATGGACATGGACAACGGGGTAGTGGGGGACGGCCAAACGTGGAAAAAGCGGGGCAGGGCAGGGGAAGTAATGGAGGGAGATGGGGACAAATGTAATTGACAACCAATTTAAAATTTTTTTTTTTTAAATGAAATCCATTTTGTAGAGCTTTATTCTCCTTGCCTACTTTGCCATAACTCCCACTTGTTACTGTTGACACAGACAATGCGGTAATGTATGAATAAATAAAGAACCTCCGAATTTTGTTTTGTTTGGTGGACTGTAGACTCAGGTGTTTCTTATGAAGGATAGAATTACTACCTACCTCACTACTACAAGTATGTAAAGATAAAGTAATATATGTAAATATGTCTGACACCAATGTTTGGTGCAAAAATGATATCTAATCTCACAATTGGTAGCAAAAATATATATTTAATAATCATATTTAAATATTGTCTTCATCCCATGTATTTTAAGGATAAAAAAGGTATACTTACCACAGAATTATCTTTCTCAGATTTGTATGTTTTTATATCTGGAATGTTTTTTTCAAAAAATGCTAGAAACCACCTTTTGGATTTTGACCAGTTTCTAGGTGACAAAAAAAATTATGTGTATAAATTAATTTGAAAGCACTTCAGGAGTAACAAGTCATAGGTGAAATGGGGGATGTCTATTGAATTATGATTATTTCTCCAAACTTTTCATCTTCAGCTAGAATTTCATGAAAGGGCTGCCTTCAGACTTACTATTCCACAAGAAAAATTGTGAGGGGGCAATTTTAGTGTCCTTTACAAATAAATGTTTGAGTTCCTGTACGACTGACACTGAAGAAGAAAACAGGCCCTAGAATCTGCTTGGTCTACTTTTGCTCTGGCTGATGTCACTTAAAACTGGCACAGGGACCCAAAGCTGGATTAAGCCAGGTAAAGCAAAATGGCTATAATGTTCTTAATCTTTTCTGACCATTAGTCATTGTATACCAACTGCCAAGAAATTTAAAAAACCATGAGTTACTTGGCATTCAAGCCGTTTTACAAACGTCCATCTGAGCCCACCCAGAGAAATGCATTTGACCTACTTTTGCCTCAGAAAGAATGAGGACAACAATGTCTCATTCTGAGACTAGACACACTTGATAATTTAACACAGGTCCAAACTGTAGCAATGACTGTGATGATAAGCTGTGAGATGAAAGGCCACAAAATAAATTCTTCATTTCATTCTAATACTTGCGTTCCCTTCCTTCCTTCCTTCCTTCCTTCCTTCCTTCCTTCCTTCCTTCCTTCCTTCCTTCCTTCCTTCCTTCCTATCTATCTAATCTTGTTTTTGCTCCTGGAAATTAAAAAAAAGAAAAAAAAGGCAAACATGTGTACTTCTTCTGTTCCTTCTTCAAAAACAAACCGGTCATAAGAAATAGTTCTCTCTCTTGCACTTAAACTATTATATCTACTTAGAACAGAGAAATGAGAGACCTATGAATTGCTGGGAGGAGCTTGATCAATGAATTAATTATAGGAACAACTTCTACCTTAGAAGACATTCTGGCACCTGGGACCCATACTCAAAGCCTTCATCATAAACTTGAAAATGCTGATGGAACTCCATGATTTTCCTCTTGTTTGTGGGAAACAAACCTTTTCTAAAGAGCATATTCACACTCACTGGATAAAGGAGATGCCTATAAAGAGAGAAACATAAAATGTTGACCCAATGACCAAAGGAGAAGACAAAAATAAGGATACAAAGGAGGGCATTATGTAATAGCTATAGATAAGGAGTAGATACAGTAAATGACAGATTTTTAGGGGGGCAAGTCACCTTTATCAAATTTTAATGTTTGCCTATTGTTGTCCAGATGACTTAGGAGTAACTGAAATTGTAGTCTTATTTACCTGAAGATTTAAAGTACTTTCTAAGCAAGCATTCAGAGATCCTGTCAAATGTGAGAGGCATGGAAGTAAATTGGTTAAATGCAACTTCAAGTATTTATTTAGCAAATAATAACTAAGATACAGTCCATGCTGTTAGATAGCAGTGAAAAATAGCCAAAGAATCAAAAGTAATATTACTTACCAAATTTCCTAATGTCTCACAGGATCCTATAAATTGGAACTATTGCATATTGGAACATACTATGTATCATCAAGTTTTACGGTAAGTGATTACTGTGGCATACTTAAGTAAAAGAGTATCAATGATTGTTAGTATGTGCTAGCTTAGTAACACTAACTACTATTCATTTCATTTTTATTTACTTTCTCCCAAGTTGCAAAAATATCTGCGAATTTGCTGTTTTGTTGTAGATATTGGGCAAACCAAAAGTTTAGTTGGCCGGTTGTCTTTGTTCCTTCTTTTTCCTTCTCTTCCTAAACCGCTAACAAAACATTAAATGTTGTTCCATTTTATGAGTCTGAGCTGTGGAATCCTGCATTCAACACCCCAGCACCCCACTGAGATGAAGAAGTGCCTAAGGCAGCTTCAATTCCCCACGCCACCTTATGCAGGTGGGGAATTTCTGTCACGGTTCCCGTGCCCAGACCCTACCTTTGCCAGAACGCTTCAGCACATAGCTGGCATGCTGCCTGGCTACCCACTGCCCCTTCCTTTCTCATTGGCCTCTCAGAACATCCCCTCTCCAGGTCTGAGGGAGGCCCATATTGGCTTTGCCCCAGTCAACTTTTAATGTCTCACAAACATCTCCTGGACCTTCATCAACTACACGATGATTCTATCCTCTCCCTTGTCCTCTCAATGTCCACTTGTTATAATAATCACAAATTGCACTGAATTTTTTTAATCAAAATTCTGATGGCTGTATGACAGAACATTCTAAGAGGTAAATCCATACAGCATACACAATTGTATGAAATGACTAAGACGAAATTACTGTAAATGTATTAAAATGTGTTAGCTTATTTGCTCACTATAAAATTGGAGTGCTCAACTGGAACTTGCCCAATTAATTAGAATTTAAAATATTAACATAATCGCTTAATTGCCTAGTCAGCTGGACTTCATTAATTCACCAGATAATGTCAGAAGTCCAATGTATGGGCTTCAAATTGTTTTATTCCAAAAGAACAAGATGAAATATCCCAATTCATCTTACCTGACTAAGATGTTCAGGTCCCTCGATCCATGGGTGCCTAAGTTCTCCAGTTGTTCATGTAATTCTTCAGTTAGTTGTTCAGTGAATTGACATAGATTTAAAGTCCCTATTTTCCCTTTCATCAGGATATAAAGTTTTTCATGCAGTGCTAAAAAGATATTCTTTGGAATCGATGCTATAAACAAGAAAACTATTTTTAAAAGAAGCAACAACTCCTTAAGACAGTCAATTATAACTCTACTATTATTTGATCAGTAGTGAATATAGCCAAAGTTCAACAAATACATAAAACAACCTCCTGCAAATAAAACCAGATAAAGATTCAACCTCTATTGTGAGATAGTAAAATTGTGCCAGGTGACTTACTTTAAGGGATAATCTGTAAGTGAGTGATTAAGAGGGCTTCTGGGAAACACAATTCTAGTGGTTTTATTTTCATGTTTAAAATGTTTCATTGATGAAATGCTTCATCACCACCTTTCTGACTCTGTGGTGAGATTTCTAGCCCCTCCCAGGTATATTGAAAACACACATCCTTTTATATACCCCAGAATTGTCATGAGCTGTTCTATCTGCTCAAAACATTCTCTACTTGACCAGCCTCACCCCCACTCCCACATCCCCAAGACCTAAATTTCATCTGCTAATTTCCACTCTTCTTTCAAGCATCTTCCTGAATATTACTTCTGCCAAGAGACTTTTCCTAACCCCACGGATTGCTTTGGCCCCCCCAAAGTATTCCTTTATATTAGCATTCATGCTGCTTCTGTAATACACACTTCTGGTTGAGTTGAGGTAGTGAGAGTAGGAATGAATTTTTTAACTCACTATTTCTTTAAATTTTTATTTAAAACCATTTTATTTTCTTCAAAGTAACTTTTCAAAAAATAATTTTAGTTTTTATTTATGTAGGTTAATTAAAAATAATTTCCACATGCCCTGGTGCATTCATCTCTGTGGTAAGAGAATACATGAAAGGAATGGAAAGCTGGCTCAAGAGTAAATATTAACATACTTCATCTGCTAACTTTTCATGTTTCATATTTAAACATGAAAGACTATGGGGAGGGACAGGTATAAAAACTTGATCACTTCCATATACCTGACAGGTGAATAAATTGGTATATATTTCTGAAGGATTTACAGATCAAGACATTTCAAAATATTTATATTCTTTGATCTGGAATTCCATAGTCCAAATTGCAAGAAGTACTAAATAGTCATCAAATGTAACCCACATGTAATTTTCATGAAAGCAAGAAGAAAAAAATAACCATTCTATTGATCACTGAGAGCTTTTGAAACAAACTTTTTTTTTCCCTTAATGGCAAAAAAAAAAATGAGAGGCTACATGAAAAGGAACCTAATAAAGAAGCAAAAAGGGAAACAAAGAGAATAGAAAGTCACTGACTGTAGAACCAAGCACAGACATCGTGAAAACAGAACAGAACCACCAGCAAGCCTTGCATTCTTGGGAGGACAAATGGCCTTGGCATGCATGTGTGTGACCAGGGAAGGAACACAGGTAGACAGTGGCCCTGTGCACATGCTGACCAGTACAATCCAGCAGTCTCGGAGGATAAAGAATTGGTGAAAGGACACCACTTACCTTAATAGCCCTATGGAATATGTCAGGAAATGCCTTTAGTAAAGGGCTTACTAAGCAGTAGAATTCTACTTTCAGGGAGCAGAGCAGCAACATGTGATCAAGCCAAGAGCTACAGCCTGAAGAACATTATATACACAGTAGCAGAACAGTTAGCCACATCTTGGGAGCTGTAACAGGATACAGATTCCAAATATTTTCCAAAAAAAAAATATCAGGGAGGTAACCTCATCTCTTTCACATGTCTAAGTGAGATCTAACTATATTAAACCACCAATAATTTGTCTTCCCAATGACCAAACTCATCATATACTTTTCTCCTTCTATCCCTACTCTAAAGAATAAAACAGTAGGGTCTCATCATTCTTGATAAAGGAGTAAGAATGTAACTGTTACATAAAACTACTCTTGGATTTCAATGTTGTGTTTCAAATGAACTATCTGAAAAAATTCTTTACCTGTACGATAGACGGGATTTTGTACCGCAAGCTCAAAATCTACTTCTTTGGATTTTAGAAACACATTAATGCCCTCTTCTTCAGTAACAAAGGTCATTCGAGTTCCCATAGCAAAAACTGTAAATATTGGTCCATACTGGAAAAAAAAAGGACATAAATACAAGTCATATTAGTAAGAATTTCTGATAAATAAGTCACTGGACTATGGGTTAGGTTTAAGACAGTGTTCCTCAAGAACCCCAATGATGAAGTTACAGTCAAGAAAAAATTATTATCATTTATATGTGGTAATTAATTCTATATATTTTTTTATCCTCACCTGAGGACATGCTCATACATTTTGACTGATTTGGAAATTCTAAATTATACAAATCCTAATTTATTCTGTCCTAATACTTAACCTTCTTTCTGATCATGTTATTACTTGTACCTTCCTTTCTTGGGGTGCAAAATAATAATTAGAAATAATTATTAGAAATTTTATTAAACACTGTGATATTTGAACATTGTTTTCAAGATTCAATAGCTTATAAGCAACCTATAGTTCAACTGTGCTCAAGAAAAAAGATACAAAATTGCTGACTGCTTTTATCATAAATTCATGGTCACTAAACAATGTCTTGCAATCCTAAAAGGTTCTCTAATGTGTTCATTTTCTCATTTTCCAAAATTACAATTTTACCTGTATAGCTTGCCCAACCTTCTCCACTGGGAAATAGTGTTCCTGCTGTATAACTCCCTGGGAAAATGGAAGCAATCCAGAAAAAGCATGCTCAAAATAGACACATTTGTACCCATGCTCCGTGCTTCCCTCTGGTGGACACAGGTGGAAAGTCCTGCCCCTGGGAAATGAATGCTCCTTTCCTTGTATTACAGACTCCATGCTCTCTTACCTTCTCTTTGTTCTACATGTCTGCCTTCTCTCTCCTACATCATCAGGCTGACCCTCTCTATCAGATCATTCCTAGTAGCCTACAAACATCCGCTGGTGAGGGGTTTGTTTCCAGGGAGTCCATGACTGTACTGGAGGAAATATATCATTTTCATTGACCTCTAATGGCAATTTTGCATTTCCTTTGATTGGGGATGTAGGTAACTAACCACAATCTTATCCATGAGTCCATCATGAAATGAACTCACTGTTCCAACTCTATTTTCTTAGATTCTCTATCTATTTGGCATCATTCATCACAGGCCCAATTATATGTTACCTACATTTCTCTTATTGTTGATGCTCTGGTATTGGCAGCCTCAGTGTTGGGGAGAGACTGCCCTCCAGAGCTATAGCCAATTCCCAAAGGGCTCGGCCAGCCAGGAACAGACCTTTCATATGCAAATCAACCGATCTACGCCAACCCCCCCACCAACTACCACCTTACCTAATTCTCAAATACCAAGCCAATAATTCCCTGACCCTAAATCATCCCAGGACCAGGTACCAGGCAACTAGAGATAACCCCTGTAGGCCAAAGCCCACAGGAATTATTTTCAAGTAGGCAATCCTAAATTGCTCACCCTGCCCTGCCCTGCCTTTCCTGAGAAAGTCCCAACAAAGAGTCTGGCCTAGGCTTTTCTCTTGTTCCTGTCTTCTGTTTCCTGAGGGACCCTGGTGCTTTCCTCTATGACCCTGCATGACATGCAGTGATCCCTTCCTAGAACTGCGGGTATAATAAACTTTTTCTTTCCATGCCTCCTTCTCATCCCCCGGTGGCCACAGTGACTTTACCAAACTTCATCTAACATACAAGCACACATTCCTAGAACTACCACCCTTACTTGTATATTCCATTAAAGTTGTTGCAAATATCTCTAAATACCATTCATGCTCATCACTACTTCAATATTACCGTCATTTCTAGACCCACCATGCAACAACACATGATCGTTCCTGTGACATACTGTTGGGCTCAGTCATCACAGAGCCACCAAACAGTGAAGTCCCTTGTTCTTTCACTAGTGATCCAAGCATCTACACTGTTTTCCAATATTCCCTCTCTACAATTGTTTGCTAGTCAATATTTAGGAGATGAGTAATTTCCATTGTTTGTTAAAGTTTTGTCTCAATGAAAATTCTTAAATTTCCCCTAGGAAAGTGTCCCTTTGTGACACATATTGGCCCCCAGGCCACAGGGTAGAGCAGCCACGTTCAAACACACTGGATAGTTGGGATAACTGTTGACAAGTGGTATTTAAAGTAACTTAGTGCAAAATGACTACGCAGTGGGAATGATCATGTTTAGTGTTATAAATTCTGTAACAATGACTTTTTTTTGTCTTACTTGCTTTCCTTTGGTTCTCATTTTTGTGCAACGTCAGCATTCTGACTGTTATGATGCAAAAGCAAGCACATACAGGAAGTTGGAGATGAAGTGCTTGTATTTTTTTTAACTTTTTATTTTGAGATAATGTAGACTAACATACAGATGTAAGAAATAATACAGAGATCCCACATGCCCACTACTCTGCTCTTTCTAGTGTTAACACCTTGCAAAGTACAGTCTCGTAACCGAGCTACTGACATTGATAAAGACAAGACAGAGAGTATTTCCATCATCAGAAAGATACCACATATGGACCTTTCTTAGCCACACCGATTTCCCTCCCATGCCCATCTCCTCCTGAACCCTTGGCAACTACTAATCTGTTCTGTATTTCTAGAGTATTGACTTTTAATATTTTAATAATGTTGTTAAAATAGAATCATATACTATGGAAACTTTTGGAATTGGCTTTCCTTCACATGGCATAATTAACTTGAGATGCATCTAGATTGTTATACATATCAGTAGTTCATTCCTTTACATTTTGAGTAGTATTCCGTGGTATAAATGGGCCATGGTTTCTTTAAACATTGTCAAAGGACATTTGTGTTCTTTTCAGCTTCAGGCCATTACAAATAAATTTGCTATAAACACTCATGTACAGGTTTTTGTGTGAACATAACTTTTCATTTCTCTAGGATAAGCACCCAGATGTGCAATTGCTGGGTCTTACGGACCAGCATTTCCATTAGCAATTTTACCATTTTACATTTTATATTTCCACCAGCAATGTATGAATGATCCACTTTCTCTATATCCTTACTAGCATTTAGTTGCTGTCATTATTTTTTATTTAACCATTCTGATATGTGTTTAATGATATCTTATTGTGGTTTTAATTTGCATATTCCTAATTGTGAATGATGTTGAACATTTTTTCATATGTTCATTTGTCATCTGTATTTCCTCTTCAATAAATTGTTCATGATAATTGCCCATTTTTAAATTAGATTGTTTTTTTCTTTAATTTGGAGTGTTGAGTTTCTTTATATATTCTAGAAACTAGTCCTTTGTTAGATATGTGTCTTGCAAATATTTTCTTTTAGTCTATGGAGTCATTGACTGTGGACTCTCCTGTTAAATATTTCTATTTAACAAACAGAATATGTTAGTATTTATTCTTGGGCCAGCTTCCCATTCCTCTCATGTATTCCCCAACCACACAGAGGATGGATGTGCCACGGCATCTAAAAAATTATTTTTAATTAACTGCATAAAATGTAACCTAGATATAATAGAATGATGAAATACAAAATTAAAAATTATTTTTGAAAGTTACTTTAAATAAAAAAAACAGGATTACAGAAAAATATAAAATAATAATAAGTTTAAAAAAAAACACACTCTCATTACATCACCCCAACCAGGAGTGTGTGTTGTGGAAGGAGCATCAACACTAATATAAAGGAAAGAGTGAGGCCAAAGCTATTCATGGGATAAGGAAACTAGGCATGTTTATGCCTTTAGAATACAAATCTACTTGGAAAAAAAAAAAACTATTTTTTAAAGACAAAGATGAACTTCCAACACAGTTACTCCTTTCCAAATTCTTCCACTTCTTTACTGGAAATCACACAAAACCAGAAGGAGAATGAAACAAATACATGCACAAACAATAGACTAAGCTAAACAATAAGGAGAAAATCTACAAGCTACAGAAGTGTGGCCCACGGCACCTGAAACCAGCAAAAGAGGCGGTGGAAGTTCTAACTGTAAGCAGGGGTGGGGGTGGGTCGGGGGGAATGAGGAACATGCAGGGGGTTCAATAGGCAAAGCTCAGAAATACACATTCTGAGATAGAAGAAGGCAAAACACAGAGCTGGAACCATTCTGTGATGCGCTTAAATAAGCAGACCATAGACACTGAAGTAGGTAGCAAAAGATCACACAGAAACTATTCAGAGAGTTCCAGAAACCTCATTTTCTACAAGTGAAGAGGTACCTGGGCAGACAAGAGCTGTGTCTCTGAGTAGCAGCAGCTGCTGAAGAAAGGCAGTGAGAGTTCAAGTCTGGAAAATGAGATCCTGAAAGGCATAGGAGCCGTAGATCATGTATGCACAGGGACACTATATTTTCACTGCAGCAAGAGAGGATAGAGAACTTAACCTGAGACACCTGGAAAGTATCCACTTCCAACTAAAACCTTTTGTTGACACCTGGTCAAAGAAAACTCAACTCTTTAAAATATGGTTAAAGAAAGGGGAAAAATTTAGCACTATAAAAAAAGTGCCTTTTTTAAAAAGAGAACTTCCTGATAAACTCACTGGAAATATTTTGCTAAAGAGTACATAGAACCTGAAATGCAAAATTATTGCAGTGAATCAAAACATTAATGTAATAATTGCAGCTGCAAAGAAAATAAACAAAGCAGAACTATAAGAAACCATGGAAGAAATAGCCAGGCAAAAGAGGAAAATTAGGAAATAAAGGAACTCAGGAAAGGAAAAGGACATTTCTGAATAAAAGATAACAATTACATGAAGTACAAGGGACACTATACATCCCACAAAAAGGAGGAGGAAGAGGAGGAGAAAAGCCTAAGGAAAAGAGAGTAGAGACATGTGAAAAATGCAAAGTAGAAAATACAAATAAATGTGAAAAGAAGTGCAAGAGAAATGACAATTATAGAAGACAGGCTAAGGAGATTAACACTATGCATTACTGGACCTCTTTCCCAAACCCCAAATTCATTTACCCACTGCTTATGTCAACATCTCCACCCAAACTTCTACGTTATCTAAAGCTGAACTTTCCTTCCACTGAGTTCTTCTTGCCACATCATTTGATGGCAATCTACTTTCTAGTTTCTCAAGCCAAACTTTTTGGAATCATTTCTGAACCTCTTCATTCTTTCACATTCATTTTGTTGCTTCCACTTTCAAAATATATCCAGCCTCAAACTTCCACTGCTATCACCGTGGTCCAAGCCACCAAGATCTTAAGCTTGAATTATTACAGTGATCTTTATATTATTTTCCTTCTTTTACTCATATGTTCCTGTTTTTAACAGAGCAGCCAAAGTGACCCATTAGAACACTCAGAAATGTTCCTATTTCACTTCAAATTACAAGTGCATTTACACTTTGAATCTGATCATTTACAGATATACTTGCACATGCATAAATGACATTTGTTGTTATATTATTTATAATAGCAAAATATGAGAAAAAATATCCATCTTTAAGTGATTGCCTAAATGAACTATATGGTTCAGGGAATACTTTGCAGGTTTTAAAACAAATGCAAATTTCTGCATAGGATGTGGTAGAACCAGGTGGGCCAAGGATCTCACTGCCAACTAGAAAAAGTTGAATAAATTACAAAGATCATATTTTTAAAAGCAGCAGAGAATTGGGGAAACAGTAAGAACTAAATGGGCTAAAACTCTACCGAGGAGAGAGTTGTGCAAAAGTGAAAAGATAGGTCACTATTTATTTTCCTGATGAATTCTGGGTATAGGCTGAAGGTCATAGGTCTGAAATAGGCATCCTGAGGAATATCTATAGTTAACATCATACTTAATGGTGAAATATTAAATACACACTTGTCTATTCCCACAACTATTATTGCACAATATATTAGTGATCCTACTGATTATAATAATGCAAGAAAAAAACATCATGGGGAGAAAAGGAAATTTATCTCTTTGCAGGACATATTGTTTATATATAAAAACTCTAAGAAATCTACAAAATAACTATTGGAACTAATAAATAAATTATCAAGGTCACAGGATACAAAATTAATATACAAAAATAAATGGTTTCTTTTTATGTGCCAGCAGGATACAATAAGAAAACAAGAGTGAAAACAATTTTATCTAAAATAGCCTCAAAAATATAAAATACATGAGAAAATAGTTATCAATCACAGGCAGGACCTCATTGCCAAGTTACACAATATTTATGAAAGAAATTAAATAGCTAAATAAATGGAAAATATACAGCCTTCACAGATTAGAAGACAATATTGTTAAAAAATCTATTTGCCCCTAATTTTTCTACAGGTTTAACAAACTTCCAATCATAATTCTAGCAGTCTTTATAATAGAAATTGATAAGCAAAGTTTAAAATTTATATTAAAATTCAAATTTAAATAATCTTGAATGTCAAGGCAATTACAAAAAAATATGTAAAAAATTTTCATTACCTGATTTAAAGACTCACTATAAAACTATAGTATTTAAGACTGTGATGTTCACAAAGGAGTGGTCGTATAAATCAATGGAATAAGATAGAAAAGCTAGAACTAAATCTACACATACACAGTCAATTAATTTATGAAAAGCTGTAAAGCCGATGCAGCAAGGCAAGGAAAGTCCTTCAAAAAATGGTACTGGAACAGTGGGACATCCAAATAGGGAATAAAAATGAATCTCACCCTTTCCTTACACCACACACACAAAAAAGTTAATCAAAGTGTGGGTCATAGACCAAAACATAAAGTCTAAAACTATAAAGTTTTTAGAAGAAAACACAAGAATCTTTGTGACCTTGCTTGACCTTTTCAGACAGGTTTGTAAAAAGATTCCCTAAACATTATCAAAATCATAGGCCTAAGCAAGGCTATCGTAGACAAAGGAGAATTTCTTTTAAAGATAGTATTTTGCATCTATCAGACTAGCAAGGATTATGGTTCTTTGCTTGGGCCAGGATATGAGGAGCTAGACAATCCCCTAGCTATGCTCTATAGAAAAGAAAAAATGTATATTGTTAAATCCTTTTGCAAGGGCAACACAGTAACATAAACAATTTAAATGTTTATGTTTTTTCCACACTTCCATTTTTAGGAATTTATTCTGAGGAAACAATTGACTAAGTGCAAAAAATAAAATATACATATACACGGGAATGTTCAGTGAAGCACTGGTTGATACAAAGAAAAAGTTGGCAGTATTCTATACACTCTTCTTGCAAGATGTGCCACATTTGAAAGATATTTTAAGGAAAAAGACATCTACTACAACAACCATTTGTAATCTCAGTATCCAATGAAAATATATTCCATCATCATCAGATAATATCACCAGTCGAAAATACATGGCCCGCTAAATCGGTGAAGACCAAATTTGCAAGCAATTTTTACAACAGCCTGATGTTAACCCCGATTTGGATACTAATTTATCATGCTCTTTGCAAAAATTGAAATCGCCCTGTCTTTCCCAATTATTGCAAGCATTTACTCAGGATTTTTTGATGATGAAGTAACTAGCACTCATAATGTCTGCGTCCAAAAGGTCAGTTAGTTACAAACTGCATTGTACTTGAAAACTGATAAAAACTTACTTCTTTTGAAAAACCTTGCATAAGACATAGTTGCTGAGGAATTCATAAGTGACTAGACCGTTTAATTGAGGATAGCAGGTATTAATATGTTCCCCATGTTCTAATATTTAATTTGAGATCCAGTGAAAGAAAATAAAAAAGAAAACATTATTACCTTCTCCGAAAACCACACCTGGCAAAGGCACGTACCTTGAATCTTGCTTTCTCTATAAATTCTAGAGGGGCTTTCCCAAACTCAAATGCAGCTCCAATCCAAGGAATCCAGCCCCTTATACACGGGGGCCCATGCAAGTTCTTCCACTGAAGGAGTAAGAACAGAGCAATACAACCCAGGATTATAATCACTGATGGGAAAATTAGTTCCATATTTTTGTCTAGCACCTTCCAGAATCAGAGAAAGAAAAACCCTGCTGCCGTGGCACTTGGTCCTTCCCTCTGGCAAAGGGAGCACCCAGGGGACCTCGCAATGTTTTTGCTGCAACTTTTCCAGCTTTCTCCGTGTTTTTAACTGTAGCCGCCTTTCCCCGCCCCAATTTTTAGATGACTTGTGCATCATCGTTCCCTCCCACTTCTCTTTCAAGTCTTGGCCAACCGGGATATAACGCTGGGGCTGGACGGCGGTCGCAGGGCGGGTTCCGAGGGGCAAAGAGGGAGGGGCAAAGAGGGAGGACCACGCTCTGTTGCCATGGTGACCGGGGGCGGTGGCGCCGCGAGCACCTCGTTCGCGGCCAATCAGAGAATGCAACTCGAAGGGCGCCGAGTCCGCAGGACTGCATTTCCCAGAAGCCTTGTGGGCTCCGTGCTGTTTTTCGGCTGTCAAGTCCGCTAGAATCCTGAAGCCTGGGGCTGCTCGGAAGGCTGCGGCTTCGCGGGGCCCGACTGGCCGAGCCGAGCGAGGGACATGGTCTCTGCCGCCCCCTTCGTCCGCTGAGGAGAGGCCGCCCTGGCAGGGTGGCAGGCCAGCCAGCGCGCGGGGCGCCGGCCAGAAGGGGTGCACTGTCGTCTTGTCCTGCAGCTGAATGTCCGTCCCAGAGGATGAGGAGAGGCTTTTGCCGCTCACCCAGAGATGGCCCCGAGCGAGCAAGTTCCTACTGTCTGGCTGCGCGGCTACCGTGGCCGAGCTAGGTACCCGGCCGCCCACGCCTGGGCCTTTGCAGCGAGCGGTTGAGGCTCCTGCTGGGATTGGGGTGGGGCAAGGTGGCGAGGGTTGGGGGCGGGGAGGTAGGGTTTGGCTGGTGGCTCGGTTCCCGGTTCCCGGGTGTGCGCAGGCCTCTCCTTCCACACGTGTCCCGCAGATGTGGTAGTGTAGGGGCAAGGCCAGCTCCGTGTGGAGGAGGGACTGGAGGTCACTGAGGTCTTTGCCTTCCAGTTGCATCTCGCTCGGAGGTGTGCTGTTGTGCTCAAACGTGTACTTTCAGAAGCTTCACGAGATGACGTTCCTCTGTAGGATTCATTTTCCCTTTAATGAGGATGACCTTTTGAAAAACGCAATCCACTTTTCATCCTTATTGAAATAATCTGTGAGATTTATATTCTTACACAACCTCATTACATCATTGTCTTTTGGGTCCAAATTACGGGCCCAATTTGTGGAACTTAAATTATTAACCAGTCACACTTATTGAGCATCTACTCAGCATTTGCCAGTTTACCACTTTGAGCTTAACTATGTTTACCGTGCAGGATTGTGAGAAATCAGTAATACCTAAATGCAAAATCAAAGGCAGGGCACCCAATAATCTTGACATTATTATAATTACTGCAGTGCTAGAGACTGTGCAGTATTGTTCAAAAGACTCAGCCCTATCCTTCTTACAGACTGGTGGGGAGACATGCAGAGACAGACAATTACATTGTGCTTTCTATAATGAAGGTATTATTAAATATCATAAAAGCATAGAAATGAACAGGTACATCTGACGAAGCAATTCAGAGAAAACATAAGAGGCCACCTAGAGCAGAATGATGATGCCCTCGCATGAGCAGGTGGTGTTTCTTCCAAGGATTTTGTGAGTCTTGTCTACTGTGAATCTTGTCCCTGTGAAGCCTTCTCTGTGCATTTTAAGGTTACTCTCTCATTTTTCTCTCCCATTTAAAACAAACAAACAAAAAGCAACAACCCTGATGTGTTATCATTTGTAAATGTTTGTCCTGTTCTAAAATGAGTTTATTTTGTTTTCCTGGCAGAGCCAGCACATGATCCCTTGCTTTGCCCTTTGTGCTCCTCCACTCTTGGCCTTTGGACTCTACCTTTTTCTCTGTCCTCCCAAAACTGATGGAGAATTATTTTTATTCATCGTTTTACTGGAATACAAATGACCAACTTTTAAAAAAATTTAAAAGCAGATTTATGAATGATTATATGTATTTCCAGTTTTTTTTTTTAAACTTATGTTACCAATGGTCTTTGTAAAGGAACATTCCTTGTTAAAAATTCATGGAGAATTTTGGGTGGGCCAGAGTGGGAGGTAGGGAGAATCAAAACATGAGATGGTTTTGAGTGCAAAACAATTTACGATGAGAACCTGAAGTATTTTTTAAGTAATCAGCAAGAAAAAGTTATTCTGAGAGTCATCAGTATGCCCATATAGAGGCTTCTATATCTCAAGACTTTTCAAGTTTCATATTTCAATAAAGCATTGCTTAAATTCTCTGTATGTAAACTACTTCTGTTTTAGGGAAACTATTAGCAAGATATAAACTTTCCAAAGACCAATGGTAAGATTTAATATTCTCTTCCACTCCATTTTCTCTTGCAAAAGGCATAGCTATGGTTTTGTATCAGGTGGTTTTCGGCGAATAGATTTATGTAATATGAATAATGTTTATGAATTTCTCTGAATCTGGCTATCTCAGTTATTTGGGACATTGTGTGATATAAAGTTATGAGCACGATCTTCCTAATGGGGATGAGTTAGCTTCATTCTGTTTCAAGGTAAAGGTCTATCTCTAATTTAAAATGTAATCATTAGAAAAAAAATTTTTCGAGTACAGCTGGTACTTGTAAGGAGGCCATGCACAAAACTTATCAGTGCTGGAAAAACAACTCAATATGTGCGTTATTAGGACTATGAGTATGCTACCTTGATATGTAAAAGATGACATTATAAACTCTATCTTGTATGTTCTATATCTTAAGCAACAGGTTAGTGATTCATCTGAGTGTGAACTTCACCCATGAAATTACAGAATTCAGTCTCATCTGGCACTGAAGAACCTAGTATAAGTACTACAGTATTCCAAAGATCACCTTAGATTTTAATCATAATTACAATCAAGAGGACATCACAGAATATGTATACCTGAAATTATTCTCATTGGAAGGCAAAAATTAAGGAGTAAATTATGGACTGAAATTCTTTTTTTAATAGTTCATTTCTTTATTGTATTTTTTATTACTATTTATCCCCCCTATATCATTTTCCACCTCCACCCAACTAACCCCTCCCCTTTACAATCACACACTGCTGTCCGTGTCCATGAGTTCTTTTGAAATTTCTGAATTTAAGAAAACCGAAGGCTTGTCACATTTTTCCCCTGGTGATTTGGAGGTGCTCTGGTATAGTGATATGTAAATTTAAGTGTACATAATAATTAACTGATTTCTAATCTTCCATCAACCTACTGAGAATCCATAGGTATGGAGCTCGGAATTCTGTAATTTTTAATAATTTCCATAGACGGAGGGGGAAGGGGGCAGGGGAAGGTGGTGGGGGGAAGGCAGAGACAAATGTATTTGAAAAAATAAAGAAAATAAATTAAAAAAAATAATAGTTTCCATAGCTGATTCTGATGTATTCTAAAATTTGAGAACCACTGATCTTGTGGCAACTAAACAATGAGTCCTATGATTTTAGAATTTCTGTTTGTTTCTCTGAATATTATGGGTTTCCCCCTCGTTTTTTTGTTTGTTTGTTTTTGTTAGCTACCTTTCCCCTCGATCTCACAAAAACTCGACTCCAAATGCAAGGAGAAGCTGCCCTTGCTCGGTTGGGAGACAGTGCAAGAGAATCTACTCCGTATAGGGGCATGGTGCGCACAGCCCTAGGCATCGTTCAAGAGGAAGGCTTTCTAAAGCTTTGGCAAGGAGTGACGCCCGCCATTTACAGACACGTAGGTATTTATCTTGATTCTGGCTGGTAAGTTTGTTATAACTTCTGTTTGTCTATCCTTCTTTTCTGTTTAGCTATATCCAAAAACCAGTCAGCCTTTTCTACTAATGTAATAAACAAATGTATAGTCTCTTAAGAAGAAGAAAATTAACTACCAATTGTTAGAAATGCATATAGGTTTTTTTTAGGAATCAACTGTCACCATATCTGCAATAGACTTTAAAATAAGAAAAAAATGAGGCAAGTACGGCAAAATGTCAGGAATTAATCTTAATGATAGATATGAGGGAGTTACATATTATTTTCTCTACTCTGTAAGTTTCAAAATTTTCCTAATAATGTTTTTTTTCAAGTTTAAGAAAGAAAATGTGCATACTTGATATTTTTGTCCACTCTAGAAACTTTAAACACAAAGTTAAAAATTGTTTTGTTCTTTGAAATTAAAATGCATTTGACCACAATTCCAAATCTCACCAGCCTCTGTCCCATACATTAGAAACCGGGCTGTTCTGAAAGAGAGCAAGCAAGGTCGACCACCTAATCCAACTCTGGCAACAGAGTAAATGCAAAGCAAGCGCTTTTTGCCTCAGTTCCCCAGGCTACCTAATCGGCTGTGTGGGCCTTTAGTCACTCTTAAAGGAAAACAGTCATAAGCACACTGCGGCCCATGGGAACACTTCTTTAACACTTTTGTGCTCTGCTTCCCAAGTGGCACTCACAAAGATAGGAGTTGTTCAGTTTTCAGCTTGTGGACAGGAGAAAATAAACTGGTCTTCAAAAGGTAGTAGGACAGGCGTGGCATTTTTCTCTACATTCGTAATGTTTCCTCAACTCTGAAGGGACCCTTTATCAGAGAACTGCCAAGTAGTGACTACTATCTTATTATTTTTAAAGCTTTGGTTCTTCAGATGAGTAAGAGTGTATTCATTAAGAGCTATGGAGAAGTGTGCTTAGAGATGGCTATTGTTTTGACACTTTGTATATTTTTTAATATCTTGAAATAATGCCACTAAGCTTCCTGAAATATCAAGGAAAATTCTCTATATGAATATCATGTACTGATTTTAATGATTTTTATTTTCCATTCTTTTTTAATACTTTCTCCTTTGCTTCCCATTATTGTCTTGAAGTTTACTTCTTTCCACTTGTATTAGTTGACCACCATATATGGCTTTACATTGAAGCTTAATTTCACGTGTTTGGCATTTGACTGAAAAATTCCTGTACTATAATAAGTTATCCAGTGAAGTTATACATGTTTATCGAATGAAAATGCCCGCTGTGTACCAAGCTCTGTACTAGGGCATGTAGAGTAATGAAAACCTACCTTGAAATGCTCATGATGTGTTAAAAAGGTGAGCAAGAAAAACAGGTTACTCTCTAATCCATGTGACAAATGCCATATCAGTTGTGTGCCTGTGGCATTCTGGGGGAAAGAGTGGAAGCATAGTAGGTGCAATGACAGCCGAGCACACTGGAGGAAAGGTCAGAGAGTACTTTCCGGAAAAGCAGTTCTGAGTTGAGTTTTGAAGGCTAGGAGGAGTTAGCAGAGCAGAGAAGGGAGAATCCATTCAAGGAAGATCAGACAGCATGTGAGGAGGCCTGAGACTGAAAACAGCAGACCACATGTGGGGAAACATCAAGAAGTCCGTGTGTTAGAAGCATAGGCTGCATGAGAAAAAGACACAGCTAGAGGCCAGGTCAGAATGTCCTCTTATTTTATTAAACATATAGCTGAACTCACCTTTTTTATGATCTCATTTACACAGTGTACTCTGGAGGTCGAATGGTCACATATGAACACCTCCGTGAAGTTGTGTTTGGCAAAAGTGAAGATAAGCATTATCCCCTTTGGTAATTTTTGTTTTGAAAATTATATGCTATTGCTCCTAAGGCTTTAAAGTTTTATACATTAAGTTTATGTAAAATTGTGCATTTCTACCAAAATTGCCTCAAGTTACAGGCTTAAAATGTTAAATATTCACAATATAAATCCAAATAATTGAGCATTCACTGTGCATTGTATACAAATGTTTATTTGTATGTAAAAATTGTGTGTATGTACTACTTAATGTTTTAATATTTAAAAATTGTTATAGAGTACCTTCTTCATTCCTTTTTTTACTGAGAAACCCTGGGCTTTAGAATAAGACAGAGATGGGCTCAAATTCCTGCTCTACCAACATGTACCCTGGGCGGACTACTTCACCTTTTATATCTCCAGTTTTCCAAGTTGTAGAAGCAATACTTATCAGCAGGCTTTTGTTTTCATAAGTTAGATGATGATTAAAGTTCATCTCACTTGCAATATTTATAACAGAAACATATATAGTGATTATTATAAATAATACACATAAAACTGCAAGTCAATATAATATATAAAGCATACAAATAAAAATAAAGACTATCAACAGACAATTCACAAAAGAAGAGGTATCAATGTTCATTAAATATTAAAAATGTTCACCCTACAGGTAATCAAGGAAATTAATTAAAAGTATCTTTTAGCCATCGAACTGTTAATGAGAATGTGAGTTACTTTTTGGGCATAAACCACCTGTTAAGATTTTTAAATGTGTAATTCTTTGACTCAGCAACTCTTTATGATTATAATCATTACAGAATACTTGTACCTGTGCATAAAGACACACACAGATTATCAACTCTACAGTTGATAACATACAGTTGTAATGTTGATAACAGCAATTTAAAAATTTAAATAACTAATAATTTGGAAGTAGATAAATTATGATATAGTTACACAGGGAAATATAACACAGCTTTCAAAGAGTGAGGTAGGTTTTATGTGACATATAAATATGTTCATAATATATTTTTCTGGGATGAAAAAATTCAAGTCACAACTGTAAGAAAAGGACAATAAGAAGAATTTCATCTCTTAGGCAAAATCTCTTGGCCCCGTTTTTGAAAAATTATAATGTGCTAAGCTAAACTAATTGCTTTCCCAGAGTGAGTGATCTTCTAATTCCCTGCAGAAGGGGAAAGTGTAGGTAAGAAGTTCAAAGGAAATACTTCCCCATGAAGCCAACTCTCAGGTTATACTGGCATGATGCCCCTTTGGCATAGGACAGTTTATTCAGTCAGTAGGTATTTAGTGAATGATTTGGTATGCCAGTCTGAACTTGATACTGGGACTATAGTAAAGAAAAAGACATATCCCTGCCATCATTGATGTCATGGTAATAAAAGATAGATGCCTAAGCAATTAGATTTATGTAACAGTTACAGAGAGGTGGTGGCGATGAGGTTAGCAAAGGAAAAAAACAATGATCTACTGTGCTCATCACTGTGAGGAGAAATGGCACTCTCAGGCTGTCGGTGGGAGTGTAAGTTGATACAAGTTCTATAGAAAGCAGCCTTGCAGGATCTATCAAATGTCACGTACGTGTTCAAATTTCTTTGTGAAAACTTAGGTTGGTTATATGAATTATGGTATATCCATAAAATGGAACACTGTGAGGCCGTGAACCTATGAACTGATAAGGATAACATTTCAGATACACTCTTAGGAAAAAAGTCAAAATGCAGAACAATATACAACCTGGCATTCTACATGTGTGCCTTTAAAAAGAAATATTTAGTAGTGACAATAAAATGGAGACACATGTATTAGAACAATAAAAAAAATTTTAAAAAAAGAAATATTTATACATATACATTTGTGTGTGCATATACCATAACTTAGTGCCTAAGACTGTGGGCTCTGCACTTGAACAGTGAAATTACATCTTGGCTGTACCACTCACTAGTTGTGAGATTGGAGCTGTCATTTAACTGTTTTATGCCTCAGTTTCTTTATCTGTAAGAGGGAATAACAGTAGCACTAATGTCATAGAGTTCATATGAGTATTAGATATTTTTTTTAATGCTTAAAACAGTGCCTGCCAAAATAAGCATTCAGTGAATATATAGCTATTATCTCTAGAAAGGCCTAAGAAACTAGCCATTGCGACTGCCTCAGGAGGGGACCTGGGACTGAGACCCATTTTTACGGTATACTCATTTGACCTCTTTAAATATCAGAATGAAAGGGAAGAAAACAGCCTTATTCCCCCAAGATACTATTGCACTAATCTAGAAAAAGATGTTTGGGGCCTGGACTGAGACAAGAGCAGTTGGAATAAGGATAAGAGGGCAGATTCAAAGTATGTGGAAGTGTAACAGTCAAGGCTTGATCACTATTGACTCGGAGAGGGTGAGGAGAAGGAAGAGTCTAGGGACACGAAGAGTTTCTTCAGAGAGCAAGAAGTTGTCAGACCCTCCTCAGTTTGGGAAACGAGTAATATAGCAGTTTATAAAATTTGACTTACCAGCCTTTGTTATACCAATTGCATCTATGCTGCTTTTATTTCCCTGTGATCAGAATTAAACCTCAATTAGATTATCAGTTCAGATGTTTGTATCTCTGAAACAACTGCCTTTCCTTTGAATTTCAGGCCATGTAAGGCTTCTGAAATTTCAGATTTGAATTTCAGCTCCTTGTGGTCCTTTAATCTTTCCATCTGTAAACAGACAAACCACCTTCTTTCCTCTGTGACTTGTTTGGGTCTATTCCTTGTCTTGTCTTAAATCTTATCCAGGGGCTATAAGCAGCGTGGTATTGTTCATTGCAAAATTTGTGAAATTAATGGTAGCCTTTAAAAATGTATCTCCTTTTATAATTAGGAAATCGGTGATTGGAGGGATGATGGCTGGTGTAGTTGGCCAGTTTTTAGCCAACCCAACTGATCTAGTGAAGGTTCAGATGCAAATGGAAGGAAAAAGGAAACTCGAAGGAAAACCCCTGCGGTAAGTTCTCTAATTAAATAACCTTTCTTTCCCCCGTTGCCACCATCCTATTTTGAACATTTACCTAACGGACACATGCATTTTTGTAATTTGACACTCAGTAAAGACATTAAATCTGACTTTTAATTTGTAAGTCATATCCATTAAGAAGAGAACTAAGATGGATCTTTTCCTTGCATAGTAAGATGTCTGTGTTTTCTATTAGACAAATTATACATGTGTTGCTCTTTCCAGCCAAGGCAGCTTGATGTAAAGAGTTTGATCATTAAAATTTGCCCTGGTGTGAATCCCAGTTTTGCCATCATGGTTTAGTGTTGTGAAAGTCACTTAACATTTTTCCTCTCTGCTTCTTTGCCTTTACAAGGGGCCATCTCAAAAGGTTTGCATGAAAGTTTGAGTCCCTGGCTCATAAGGTGACAAAAGTTTGGGTTCCTTCCCTTTCTCCCTGAAAGTAGGGAAATAGCAAAGTTGACCATGCAAATGGCTTCTGCTTCCCTGTCTATTCCTACTCTCCTTTTTTTTTTTCTTTTTTAAAAACAGAAAAGATTTTATTTATTTTTAGAGAGAGGGCAAGGGAGGACGAAAGAAAGTGAAAGAAACATCGATGTACAAGAGAAACATTGATTCATTGCCTCTCGCATGCCCCCAACAGGGGACCTGGCCCACAGCCCAGGCATATGCCCTGACCTGGAATGGAACCAGTGATGTTTGGTTTGCAGGAGGACGCTCAACCCACTGAGCCACACCAGCCAGGGCCTGCTCTTCTTTTTACCAAGTTTAAGGAAGTTTTAAAATCACACTTTAGTGATATAAAATCCTCCTATCGCATTACCCTATATTATCGAAGTTTGCCTTTCTTCCAAGGGCTTCATGTTCAACAATTCATAAAAATACTACTTACCAGTTTCATCCAAGAAAGTGGCAAAATCTTGCAGCTAAATATAGGCCCCCTCCCAAGAAAGAGGAAAAGTGCAGGACGCCTTGAGCTGAATATGAAGGGGTCTGATACTCTGAAGACTGCAGGTCTGTGGCTGAGCCAGAGCTAACAGAGGGCTTGGTGCCTCTTTTGGGAGTTCCCACTGACTGCTGCACTTTGCTCTGCTGCTCCCAAGCTGATGCAGGGCACAAGGAGGTTGGGCTGAGAAAGAACATGCAGGACAGAGGAGAAAAGGGAACCACTTCGATTTAAGCAAGTAGTTTACAGATCCTCAGGGCCTATTTTGTCATCCCACAGCAACGTTGCATTACTCAGTAGCAGGGAGAAGTGTTGTGGCCTTCATTAGATACATGGACAGAACTATTAGGATCTAGAAATAACTGAGTTTTTAACTGATTGCCTCGATTTTTTTCCCCTCTCTTGTCTTTAATGTTGGAACTTTCAATAAAAAAAACATTGAATGTTGTTGTAAAGAACATGAACCTTGGGATCATACAACCTGGGATTCAAATCCAGCCTTACCACATTTTAATTCTAACCCTAGCCAAGTTCCTTAATCTCTCTAAGCCTCAAATTCCTTGGTTGTACATTGGAAAAATAATACGCACTTCATAGAGTTTTCAGAAATAAAATGTACTTTATGTTTGCAAAAAAATCCGGTGCTTAATAAGTGCACAATAAATTTTAGCTACATTGCCCATTCATGAGCATAACTCCCCATGGAGCATAATAGCAATTATTCATGCCTAATAAATATATCATATTATCTTTTTGGTGAAACAGGAGTGTAAGGCCTGAGTAAAAGCCACACAGCTAATAAGTGTTAAAGGTAGCATTTGACTCCAGGTATTAATAACTATCCAAACTTCTATTTTATACCAGAGATTTTCAGAATTGGTTCATGGTTCAGTACCATTTTTTTAATCTGTGTATCAAAATAAGGATGACATAGTAAGTTTTGATAAAGTGAAATTATTGTTTTAAAGCCTTTTATGATGAGGGTGTCCTTTCTACTTTTTGGCCTAAAAATATAATTTCTCTTATGAGATTATATGAGAATCAATTTTTTTAAATGTTGTTATTTGGTGAATTTACAAAATTTTCAAGTTTCTCACAAAGTAGTAAGATGAACCCAGAGGTATGATAACTACTATTCTCTCCTATAAATTACATGTATACTAATTATATAAAATATCAAGAAAGGAATTTTAATCTATTCAAAAACTTGAGAAGAGAGTGATACTGTTTATAACTATTTCCATTCCCATTTAATTAAAAATGTTTAATTAAATGTTCACCTTTTTTCTCAAGGATTATTACATTTACCTGGAAAATAGACTTATGTGGATTGCTTTAATTTCTAGCAATTCTAGATAATTAAGATGTTATTTTACTCCGAATCATAGCAACTATAGGCAATGCTTATCCAGTTCCATTCCATATAAAGGAATGCATGTAATTTTTATGTTTTATTATTATTTTCCTTTAGATTTCGTGGTGTGCATCATGCATTTGCAAAAATCTTAGCTGAAGGAGGAATACGTGGGCTTTGGGCAGGCTGGGTACCCAACATACAACGGGCAGCACTGGTGAATATGGGAGGTAATGGAAATTTCACCGAATTCTGAGAAACCTAATTGCCATAATCGTACAAGTACTCACAACAGGGAAAATGAAAAATGTTATTATTTTCAATAATATATATTGACAACAATCTTTTTTTATGTTATAATATCATAATTGAATATTTCCCTGGAGCATTTTCACTTTTTTGTATGGTGATGTATGAAAAGGATTCTGAAAAATAAGCAAATTGTGACAATAAGGATATAAGACCAAATTATTTCAAAGGTTTCCTCTCTGCCCCACACCTTTCTCTAAGATTCAGAAGACATTCATGTTGAATAAATAAATACTTAAGCCTTCTTTGTCTCTCTATTGCCAGATTTAACCACATATGATACAGTGAAACACTACTTGGTATTGAATACACCACTTGAAGACAATATCATGACTCACGGTTTATCTAGGTGAGTGATTGTTTTAGTTTTAGACTCTATTTTTTTTCTCTAGAAAAAAATAAAATGGGTAAGACAAGACAAAGTCATAGACTGTATCAGATTAAACCTCCCCAAATATTTGCACATTGATGGGGCTCTCCTGGGGTCAGCTTCTGATGATCAACTCTCCAAATCAATTTGAGCACCTTTTATGTTAAAGTCACTGTGCAGGCCCTTGTACTCAGTACAAAAAGTAAACCCAGCTCCTTCCAAAGTTTACCAAGGCAGAAAACAAGACAAGTATAAAAACACTGTACAGGAAACCCTAAAAGAAAGTGACCAATTACTGTAGAGTTCAGAGAAGGGAGAAGAAATAACCATTTGGAAGGGCTTGACAAAGGAGATAGAATTAGATACGTGTTTTGAAGGGCTCTGGCTCTTGACAGAGACAAGCAGAAGAGCATTCCAGGAAGGACTAATACATACCTTCATCTTTTTGCAGCAGAATTTCAAGTATCCATTAGAGTGAGTTATTTTATAGATGTCTAGTGTCCTTAACATTATAGTGATTTTATTTAGCTTCTGATCCTGTTTCCAAATTCTAGAACCCTTTATGCTATTTAGACAACCCCAAATAGTTTCAAACCGAATATATATACATATTCAGGTTCACGTTAACTAAATATTCCTAGGGTAGTGTTTCTTCATTTGTCCTCTTTTAAAATCACTTATCTTTAGTGTTGCTAGGGCAAACTTTTTATATGTCTTTGCTCACTGTTCTTTCTCATTCCGAACTCTCACCCAGGTATGTGTGTTCACAATCTACGTACACCGTATTTTCTCTTTAACAATAGTCTGGCATCCTCTTTCACAGAAAACTGAGGATTTAAGGGATCCTTCCCCTTTTACCTCCATCTTGATAAACATATGTATTGTATCTGTAGTCACCCTTACTTTATTTCCTCCACTATCTTTGTGCATGCTGTTCCCGTTTCACCAGTTTCTACTTGGTCAAGTCATTGTGAGACTTATCTTATCTTTTGAGATGTTTGTCTGTTCCATGGTTATGCTGTACTCTGGGAGCAGGTTATGCAGGTCTGTTTGAAAGTCCCACAGTGATATTATCTCTCTTTCTTTTACATTATCTTTCTACCCAAATGGTCTTTGAAATCACACACTTCTAACCTAGGATTCATGGATTTCCCAGCAGAAAGTAAATCTGTTTAATGTACAATACACCTCACAGATATGTCTTTTATTGGAAAGACTTAAGATTTCCAGCTGTATATACTCCAGCCCTAATCTGAAATAATTTAGCTTTATTCTTCTCTAATTCAGGTTTTGAGAAAACGGGATGATTGGTATCTGGTTCATTTTGAGCCCCACCCACTGGATCAGGTTTTTAAATGGGTTGGTATGAGTCTGTGCGGTATGTGAGGCAGCTCCAGAGTTGCTTACCATGAACCCAAATCTAAGTAGGTAAACAGGGCTATGAGATCTGAAGGTTCTGGGTGCTGTGTCATAGGATGAAATGAATGCTCATGGAGGCTTGAAGGGTATTCCAGCTCTGCAATCAGAGAGCTTTACACACGCCATTGACACCTGAGGGAAAAGGAGCTTAATATGAAGAAGAAGAAGAAAAATGGTGTAAACACTGAACTATGCACTTAAACATGATGAAAATGATAAATTGTATGTTAGGTATATTTTAGCACAATTTTAAAAAATGGTGTGAGTAAAATGAAGTCCTGGGGAAGGGCAGGAGCAGTGGAAGACTGCAGCCAGGATTTTAGTGAGCTGGGAAGGCAGCTGACAAGATGTGTTAGTAGGGGATACAGAGGGAAGATAGGGAGTGGAATTAATAGTCAGGAAATTGTATAGAACAGAAAGATCAGGATAATCCCTTTTTTTCTTTTTGTAAAATCATGAGACTATTAAGAGGTAAAACTGTGAAAAAGTCAGTCTACATTGTGTGAAGATTATACGTGAGCATGGTTATTTAGTTCATCCTGAAGAGTACTGTTGATTCTGACTCAGAGCTGATGGAATATTTGAAACTAGTCTTGTAGATAACCACCAGTCTCCTCGAGATAACAGAAGACTTGTCCAATCACTCTCCATCCATTATCGCTGTAGTTTTGTCCTGGGCCCCGTTCGGGGTTATTACTTGCAAGGAGTGATCAAGGTCAATAGAAAAAGTACCAACGCCCATTACAAGTAGCTTGACAAAATTGATATTCCTGTGACTGCTATATACTCTTAAATTCTTTATTTGCCATCTTACTTTGATGGCCATCTCATGAGACCTCTTTAATATATTATTTGTTCTCTTTTAGTATTTGTTTTTTAAAGAAGTCTAGCCAGATCATACTCATGATCTGGCATAGCCTCAAACAGTTGGATAAGAAGAGGACGAAGCCATTGGCAGTCACATGCTTAGGTCTCTGTGCCAAATGGGGCCCACAGTTGCTGAAGGGGGTTCTTGATGTGTTTACCATGCTAGAAAAAAGAATTCTCTAAAAATCAATTACAAGGGCTTCCCACATTTTAAAAACAGAGTTTATTAATATTAACACTGTTAGAGGTAGTTTCTACTCTCGCCACTTAGGTATAACTGAGCCAGTGCCCAGTTACAAATGACTGAAGCAAATGACTGAGTAAAAATGTAGTGTTTCCTTCCAATGTTGAGCAAAGAGTGGGAAGCTGCATATCTGTTTTTACCCTATTTCTTTGCTCTTCCTTACCTCTTAATTAGTTTTATATGTCATTTTTAGTAGATAGTTTTAGGACTTCTGGTGAATTTTGTGTTACTCGAGACATTTCTGTGTGAAAATATGAAGATATATTTAAATCAATGATATTAAACTTTGAATTTGAAAGAATTTGAACAAACAGGAAAGAATGTGGTAAGAGCAGTATCCTACATTACTAGAATATATGGCCAAATAATGTTTTTCCCACATAGGTCATTTACTGGAATAGGTAAATAGGTTATATGTGTTCCTTGTCTTGAATCAAAAGGGGTTTTTCCTTTGAATTTTAAATTTTGATCTGAAACAGATAGAAAGACTCAGGGTACTTTCTGCTATAGCAGTTTAAAGTAAGAGAAGGTATGAAGATTCCTATTGCAGCTTCAACTTCCCTACCACAGAGCCTCTAGACTTCAAAGGACTTCATTGGTCCTTATCTTTGTCAGGTATATGATGTGCCAGAAGGACATAAAAGTTTTACACACTTTTCCTTTCTAGCTCTTCATTAGCCAAACATAAACTTTTCTTCAGGCTCCCGCAATTCCAGTCTGTCTATGGAGTCAGCTGCCAACTTCTGGGAGTTGAGCTTTCTGTTTTCTGTGATCAGTTTGACCACCCCTCCTCTCACTACATGCTGTTCTCTTGGAAACTTGACGTAGTTAATGAGTTTTCTGTTTATAAAATCTTGATTATGTTTCTGTATTGTCTCTTTCATGTATGTCCACAGAGTGAATGGCAGCTAGTGTTTCTTATCTTTTTAGTCACTCATTTGCAACTCCTGATTTATTGTGCAGTACAGTAGGTTGACCACATCCATTTTGTCTCTTTTGAGTGACAAGAAGCCTTTTACAAGAAGGAGTGATTAACCTTATTAGGTAGAGAGACAAGGATAAGCAGAAACTCATGAGACATTGTACCTGAGCATAGATTGAAGAAAAGAAAACCAGAATTTTCCAATTATATGGGTTGCAGAGCATTCCAGATAAAAGAATTCTAGGCATGGAGATGTTGGATAGTGTGGTAAGTGCAGAGAACTACATTTAATCATATTGTTAACATAGAACATAACAGTCAAAGAGAGAATAGCTAGAATAAAATCAGACTCCATAAATAGCCCTCATGGGCTGAGCTCTGCCCGCGTCTTTCGTCTTTCATCCAGCTGGACTCTCCACCAGGATGCTGCAGCCGCATTGGCTGCTTTCTGTCCTTCAAATGCACCAAGAGTATTCCTGACTCAGGGCTTTTACTGGGCTCTTCCTTCTGTTTGCAACACTCTTTCTCCAGGTCTTCACATAGGCACTGCCTTCTCTTCTGCCATCCAGTTACCATTTTATTTTTCTCATAGCATTTATCAGCATCTAAAATTATTAATTTCTCCTCTGCTTCTCCCCAAGCAGAGTGTAAGTGCCTGGAGGGCAGGATCTTATCTGTCTTGTTCACTGTCTAGAAGAGTATCTACCCCCGCTAGGTGTTCAATGTATAGTTGACTGACATTCTTTTGGGTTTGTGTGTGTGTGTGTGTGTGTGTGTGTGTGTACCTCTTTAATGAAGTAGCATTGATTTTAAGCTAAAGGAACATTATCATGAAGAATATTACAGTAATTTCCCTAGTATTTTACTCTTTCTAAATATTAAATTGCCTTTCCTTAAAATTTAGAAACTGTTACATACTATCATTCAATTTCATTTATTGGTATTTATAGTTTCTGTTCTGGACTGGTAGCTTCTATTCTGGGAACACCAGCTGATGTCATCAAAAGCCGAATAATGAATCAACCACGAGATAAGCAAGGAAGGTAGAAAGTCTTTAGTATCCATGTGCCTGAATGTTTGTAATAACATTGTTCTTTAAAGTTATGTCCCTTATTTATTCTTGATAGAAATGTATTTGTGTGTTTATGTGTTTAACCAGAAAACTGATTTTATGCAACTACTTGCTCTTTGTCTGATGAAAAAATACTGTGCATTTGGGGAAATAAGCTAATTTAACAATCATATTATTTAGACACAAGATATTTATTGTGACTTTATTGTTTTCAAGGAGGTTTTGAAAACATACTCTGCTGAGAATTTACAGAGTACTTTCTTCAGAAGCTTATGACTTGCAGGTAACATGGAGAATTTGATTTGACATAAAACAGTATGTTCTCTCTGGAAGAGATCAGGTAGAGTAAATTCTAAGTATAAGACCAAGGGTGGGATGAATCAGAAGAGTCAACCCTGAAAATATCTTTAAACTCAAAGGAGGTGATCTATATACAGTAAGTCCTCAAATAATGGCATTCTATTGAGTGTTGTTTCCTTATAATGTTGATGAGGTGCCGCAGGAATTTAACTCTTGTTCCTATCAATTAGCCTGTGGTAAAATTGGTTTTGTTTTACTTTATTTTCCTTGAAATCACAAAACCTATTGATGACATTAAGTGAGGACTTACTAGATACAGAACCAAAAATGTTATTTGTTCTAAACTAGCAGAAAATATTTAACTTATAGTAAGTTTCCTTAGGCTTTATTTTAATTTATATAATATATGTATTTACACATAAGAAATTTAATAAAATTATCTTGTTTCCTTTTTAGGGGGCTTTTGTATAAATCATCTACTGACTGCTTGGTTCAGGCTGTTCAAGGAGAAGGATTCATGAGCCTCTATAAAGGCTTTTTACCATCTTGGCTGAGAATGGTAAAGTTAGGTCTTTCCTTCCTTTGTTTTGTTTTTGTGTCTGTTTTCTTTGAACTTAAATTACTTTAAATTTGTAAGTAGCTTCGCTTTCTCCTCTGTTTTTTGGCATGGCCCTGCCTCCAAAACACAGTTCTTTCATTTTTTATTTCTTTTTGTTTTGTTTAACCTTGCCTCAGAGTTCTGTTACCTTCTTCAGTAAAGTAAAATAATTCAGTTATATCCAGAAACTAATAGGTTGATACTCTGTTGTTATAAAGCCAATGGATAGATTCTTCTGCAATGTAAAGCCTTTAGTAGTCTATTTAGCCAAAATATTTTAGTTTTTTACAGGTGTATTGATTTAATTCTAGAGATCATTTCTGTGAAAATGCTACTGTTGCAAACAAAATGGGTTACTTTGATGGCAAATGTTGCATTACCCATTCATATTTATTACCACAAAGTTCTGCTTGGTAAGAAAGCATTATGTCCTTTTTATTTGGTTTAGATGTTATTTTTTACTGAAGTAAACCAATATGTAGAAGTAGATAGAGTTATTTAAGAAATATAAAAGTTTAATAAAAACAAAGTACTTAAATCTTTTGTAAGTTAGAAAATATTTGAAAGAATGAAGGAGTTGTGAGTTAGAAATTCACACAATCAATTCTTTACACAGTACAATATTAATTGAGTGCCTACTCCATGCCAAGCCCTGTACTTAGGGCTGGGCTTTGGAATGAACAGAAGAGTCTTGGTCCCTGCCCTCGTGCTGGAGCTTCTTATTGAATAGGAAACCAGAAGTGATGAGTGGTAGGGAAAAGTGCCTGGTGCTGTGGAAATATATACCAAATAAGTATAGCCTAGGCTAAAAGATTAAGAAAACCTCCTTGGAGAATGGACTTTCAACTTGAGAGTTGAGGAATGAATAGTACTTAGCCTAGTAAAAAGGGGCAGAAAGGAACATTCTAGGTAGAGGGAGTAGTTGGAGCAGACAGAGAACATGACGGAAACCAGCAGGCCAAGGCCCAGAGATGTGGAGGAGAGTGACACAGGGTGAGGCCAGAGAGAGGAAGGGACCAGATTGGGAAGGGTCCCACGATCCATAAGAGGGAGGGACACCACCTGGATGGCTTGTGAATTTTTAGATCATTCTGGCTGCCATATGGAAAAGTCTAGGATAGTGATAGATGAAAGATAATGATAGCTTAGACTAGAGTCTAACAGTGGGGACAAAAGAAGACAGGTTTTAAAAATATGTAGGAGATAGAAACATGATTGGATAGGATGGGAAAATTGTTGGAGAAGCAAAGAGAAGTCGGGCTTCGTTCCCAGATTTCTGCCCTGACTGACAGACAATGTAATCTCCTCAAATGGGGATCTTTTGTAGGGAAGAAGATTTTGTAGTAGAATAACAAGTTCATTTTTAGATACATTAAGTTTTGGATGCTTGTAAGACATCAAAGAAAAGGTAACTAGATGATTAACTTCACATACTGGTCTGGATCTTGGAGAGACTATGAGGATGGAAATTTAGAATTGCACACCATCCACATATAGATGGTAATTGAAGCTTTGATAATAAATGACCACCAAGAGATAGTAGGTATCTATCCATTAACATGAAATTAATTGCCAAAGCTATACCCAAGTTGCAGAATACTATTTTAAGTGTCTGGATTATACCTTGAAATTATTGTAAATCTGGATATTTCTTACTGGAAAGGAAGATTTTGATTTGGGCTGCCTGAACCAGGCACTATTATAAGTGCTGGTAACACTAAGGAATAAGATGTTTATTTTTTGCACTAGAGGAGATTACAGTGTGATGGAGAAGATAGACATGTAAGTAAGAAAAATTATAGAAATAGTAAAGCTCATATTACCAATCACTTTGTAGATGGCCAACACTGTGCTAATCATTTTTATGGCTTAACTCATGGAATTCTCCCGACAATCTATTTAGTAGGTTACTGTCATATTTCTCTTTTATAGAGGAGGAAACAAAAACTTAGAGTCTAGATAACTTGGCCAGGGTAGGTGGTTAATTAGCGGTCAGGGCATCAAACCCAGTCAGTCTGGCTCCAGAGGACATAGTCTTGTTAAGGAGGTTATATTAATGCTTTGCCAGTGGTATGAACAAAACACTGGGGGAACGTGAACAGTGGAGTAAAAATAATTTTAACTGTTTCGGAGGTCATAAAAGGCATCACAGAGGTGATACCTGGTCTGAGCTTTGAAGGATCAGTAGGCATTTGTCAAGAAAAACATGAGAGAGCATCGTGAACATGGGCATCAAGCCATGTGTGGACCTGATGTTGGAGAACTGCAGACAGTTCAGTGTGGCTGGAGAACAGGCCTTCAGGGGGGAGGCTCAGGAGGGAATTCCTGGCACGTGCTTCAGGACTCAGCAGAGAAGGACCTTGCTGGCCAAGTTTTGTAGTTTAGGTGTCACCCTGTAGTTAACAAGCAGCTGCTTAAACTCGGGAGCAATGTGCTAAAATTTGTTTGGGGGCAAGATTTCTTTGGCAGCAAAGACAATTTTGACATAGGACCAGCAGATGATGGTAGAAATAGAGAGAAGACAGATTCTAGGGACATTTATGGTTAACTCCACAGGACTTAGTAACTGATTATAGGTAGGAAGTGAGGGAGGGAAAAACGAAATGGTACTTTTAGGTTTCTAGTGTGGGAGACTGTAAGGATGGGTGAGACCATTGATGAAAAACAAAATCAGGGTTGGGGAGCTGCAGGGCAGGGAGAACATCCAAGGACAAAGAAATACTGAGGCCATATAGATAACACAAAAAGATGAGTACTTAATATGCAGAATCCTCTGAGCTAAGCTCTTTACACATTAATTTTTTAAGTCTTACAAGAATCTAGTAAAACAGGTGGTGTTATCCTTACTTTTCAGATGAGACAACCATGGCTCAAAGTATAAGAAACTTGCTCAAGCTCATATAGCTAGTATATGGCAGAGCTAGGAACTGGCTACAGGTCTGTTCAACTCTAAACTCATGTTCTTAAATAATGCAGTATATGAGTGCCTGAAGATGCCACAGCTAGTCATAGAAACTTTAAAAGAAGAAAGAAAGTGTGTAGTGGTAGAGGAGAGGTGTTACCACAGAAAGGCTGGCTAAGTACCAAAGGTCACCAGGGTGACGTTGCCTTGATGATTTGCTGCAGTGCGTGACCCTGACCTTAAAAACCTGACCAATGAGTTACTACCAAGAAAACTGGCCTTGCAAAAACAGATTCACTTCAGCTGAACTCATTGAAATTGATAAGCAAACTGCAGTGTTACCCCAATCACATTGAGAAACATACTTGGCAAGTGATTCAGATGCTGGAGTCCTCTTGACAGCATGCTTCCTCCTAAATTCGAGCTATACAGGGAGCCATGTTATAATTGGAAGATCACTGAACACAGAATAACAAGGAAGAGCTATCTAGAAACTTAATACTTAAGAATATCAACCCAAGAGCCCTTTCATGTTCCACAGTAATAGGCACGGAGAAGGACTCTGTTGTTTTTCCAAGTGTTATGACAATAGGTAGGCCAGAGAAGAAAACATGGGCTCATATATACTTGGATTATTTTCAATGGTACAACTGTGCCTGTGAGGAAAAAACTAGTAAAAATACACTACCCACATACACTCCTGCACAGAGTTTCAGTATATCCCATTTATATACTACCCTTATTTTTTGTCTATGTGGTCTCCCTCTTTAACTTCTGTTCAAACCCAGCCAAACTCAATCCCAATCCCTTCCACTAGGTAGAGGCAGTAAGACCTTGTTTTGCACAATCCCTGATTAACATATATTTCCTTTGCATATATTTTGGTTGCCGTGTCACTAAAATGAGGAAGAAGTCTAATTACCAGAGCAATAAGGAATAATCACATAGTTCATTCTTACCTAAGACTTCTGCTCCTTAATCCCACTAGTTACGTTCTTGGTTCACTTCATTGTTATTGTTATGAGAATATGATATCATCACGGCTTCACATTCTTTACTTTGTCTATGTCTTCATACATAACTGACCCAGATGTGGTCTCCTAAATCCACTATTTAGTAAATAAATTCTCAGTCTACCAATATAACATACTTAATATTTCCAAACACATTGACATATATGTTGCTGTACAAACTCTCTAACCAAATACATTTTATATTGTAATTGCTTAAGCTTATTTTTCTAATTTGAGTTTCTCTCTGATCAACATTACCTATCACCTATGAACCAAATCAGATAAGAATTGGATCCAAGACACCCTTTTTTATAATGGTCACTTCCAATGTTTACTATGTGATTTCCCTATGTCTTTAGCATTTATATCTTCTATTGTCAAATAACCCTCATCCCCTTATGTGTAATTTCTTTCAATACAGTTATAACTTAATTCAAGTTAGTCAAGTCTTGTGAGGTGGAAGCTCTTCTTTATAAATGTGAACATTTACATTACACCCATTTTGTGATACATTAGGTATAGGTTTGTGACCTAGCTCTCAGAAGATATTCTTTCATCTTCATTTTCAAGTCCTTAGGTGCCTCCTTGTCATGCTTCATCTACAAACTACACGTAGAGGAGCCCAGCCTGGAATTGGGGCATGCTGAATCTGAGCCTTGTAGGCAGCAACGTTCAGTAACCAGGGCTCTGGAATGTAGGCCAGAAGCCTGTGGCCTAGACCCACAACATGCTATATTATCTGATTGCTAAGCCTCGATGTCCTCATCTGTAAAAAAGGGATATCAGTTGTAAATTGTTTAGAGAAAATATATGACTTGAAAATGTTCTGTGAAAAATATACAACATGAAAAATGCTTTGTAAGTTATAGAGTTCTTTACAAAGGTGGAATACCAAAATATTTGTTTTCAGCCTAGGTGGATTCAAAATTACATCGTCATTTAAAGATGTGTATGCTATATGTAGAATATTCATAATTGCTTTGAAATATGCACTAACTTCTTTGATTAATCTTTCAGACCCCTTGGTCACTGGTGTTCTGGCTTACTTATGAAAAAATCAGAGAAATGAGTGGAGTCAGTCCGTTTTAAGCCCTTAAAGATACAGTGTTCAGTATCACTGAAATCTGGGCATCTGCAACACACCCCCCCTATTGTTTCTACCTCTTTAGGAAGACACCTTACTCTTCAGTGACTGTGATTTATAGGGGGCAGCACTTTATTTTTCTCTGGAAACCCAAGTTCTCTTTGACTCCTCTTTTCGTTCAAGAGCAATCTGATTGAATGACACATGGCCACCCAATGAGACCTAGGAGAGCACTTTCTGCAGAAGAATGCAATCACGGCCACTTACCCTGGGAGATCTGACGTTTGAGATGTTATTCTGTGCTGAAGAGCCTACTTAGAGAAGTGCCAGAAGGGAGACAGCATCTCAGACCTGAAGTAGACAATAGGAATGGGGAAGGATATGTACAGACACAGTGACTAAGAAATATATTGAATCTGTTATGTCAGTATTTCCAGTTGACATTTGATAATTCACTTTTTTGTTGTGAAAGTGCAAATACTGTAAAGAGAGGTGAATGAAAAATCATGAATAAACACTTTGAATTTCCCTAGTGTTGAAGGAAGTTAATGTACCATTTCTTGCCAGGAAGATTGAAAAGAAATCAAGTTGGGCTGATGTTTGGATTTGAAGGAGAGAAGCTGCTTTCTGTCAGCACCGCATTGTTAGTTAGATCTGCGTTAATTGGTCAGCGCACCACCCACAGGCTAAGAACTTGCTGACAGCAACAGACTCTGAACCTTGATGAAAGCAGAGTATTTACTTTGTTACATATCCCTTCACAACTTGGATTTGTTTCTCAAGAAACTTCAATATATTAAAATCCAGCTTCATTTGCTGAAAGTGCAGGTGGATAGATCTTTTTTTATAAAGCAACTTCTTATCAAAGCCTTTTAGTAGCATTTTAAAAACAAGGGTGAGGTTAAGTCAGCCAATTCTGAGATGCATCCTTTCCCCTCTCCCCCTCCTTCCCTAACACTAAGGACCCTGTAAAGAGAGAGAGAACTCACAAATCATACTGAAGCTGTCTCTAGCCTGAAACTCAGTTTGACAAAGAAGCGATAAGTATAAACTGCCTATGGCATAGTTATGTTTCCCTCCAATCCCTGAATCACATTCATTTTCTAATTTCAGAAAGATGAGAGATTTCATAAGATTCACCCATGTTCTACCTGCTCCCCCAACATCAGACAGTAGGCATTTCTGGATGAATGGCTACTGTTACAGGTAGAGGCTGTAACTGTTAAAATAGGAGAACTCAGAAAGCTCAGACCCAAGAAAGACCTTGAGGCTGACCAAACAGTTGTTATCATGGAATGGATATTGTTGAACAAAAGAGCTTACAAGTGCTCTGTGGTCGCACTAATGCATAATCACTGCCATTTAAGAGGGGAAATGTACTTTAAAATATATTTTAATGTTATGTAATTTGCAGTTGCTTATTGTTTTTCTGTACAGTTTGCATGAAATCTTTAGTTGGTCTAGTTTCCCATTGCATTTGTCAATCTGTATGAATTGAGTGTTAAATACATTTAAAATAATATTATGTAGTTAAATTCCCAAGTGTTCTGCATTAGAACAACTTGGGGAACGTTTTGTTTTTTTATGTTTTATAATGTTTAAAATTAAGTAAAGACTGGATCAAAACTATATGCAAATTGGAGCATAAAAATTATTTAGCTTTATTCTTGAGGGACTTGGGGGTGAAAACATTGCTTAAGTACTGAGACTCATTCTTCGTAACTGCATTCAACAGGAATAATTGGAATTTTTTAACCTGAAATTACTCCCTGGGATCATCTGGTTTAACCCTTTCATGTTACATGTTAGGAAACTAAGGCCCAGAGAAATAGAGTTGTTCATGCTTATAAATGACTTAGTAACAGTGCCAGGATAAAAATACAAATCTAATTACAACTAACAGTTATCATACAGATTTTGACGTATGGCTTTTTTTGTCTTGTACATGTTAAATTAATTTGAATTTCCTTTAACATAACTTTTAGAGTGGAGTCACCATGCTTTAGCCTGATCGTTAATACTTTCCATACTTTGACCAAATCCTATATATGCAACACACATGTCCCATCACGTTCATACTTTTCCAATGAAATCATATTCATTAATGTCTTTTGGAACTTTGTTTCACTTTTACCAACTGGAAATCATCTTGCTCCTCTCCAAAATAATTAACAGTAAATAAAAAGGAATAACAATTTCAGTCATTTTGTGTCCAGACTGAAAGACTTAACGATTTCAATCTCACTTTCTTATTATACTAGTACTATATGTGGTACTTATCTTCAGTTCAGTATTGATAACACTTAACAGCTAAGTTTCTTTTGCTTAACCACCACACTTATCTCTTCCCAAATGATTTTTTCTCATTGAAAAATATATAAATTCTTATTTTTAATCATAGTTACTTGTTCTTTATAAGTATTAAATGAATTAGCATATATATCTAAATAAAGAGATAACGTTTCCTAAGTTTGCCTTTAGTAAAGAATGATATGTCTTTACCAAGTGCTCCAAATCCTATTTTATTATAAGTGGCTAGTGGTAGGGCTATGTCTTGTATTTATGCAAATCTCTACTTGTCAGTATCATTTTATTACGTTAGGTACTCAACAAATGTTGATTACAGTTACAACATGAATCAATTAATTTTGTCTTCATTATTTTAAGAACTGACTATCATAGACTAGTCTGAAATTTATTTCATTTTGCTAAGAGAAAGGAAACAGGGAGGTTCTGTCATTTTCAATGTTTTAAGCACAACCATTTATTAACAATTGAAATCGTTATGTATGTTCTTCACTAATAAAAATAGATTCCCTCACTGCCTCCATTGGAAAAAAAGTTTGATTATAATACACGTGGTTAAAAAAATGGGGGAGTGATCACATTCAATTCTTTACTCCCCAACTAAACCAGACTCTTTAAAATGATTATCAAACAAGTGTATTATTATTATCATTATTAAAGTGCCATCTAATATAGAAGAAAGATAATGTGGGTTCTAAATACCTTTATCAAATTGGGGGTTCTACTTCTGACAAAGTGTTATAACTATGATCAGTTTCCTTCACAACTCTTGAGTTCCATGGTTTGATAAGATGAAGTGACTGAACTCCAGAACCTTGAATTGCATATACTTGAATGGGGCCATTATATTTATTCCATGTGGAAAAAAGGATTAAAAATATTGGGATTTGTTTTTTCCTGGGTTTAATTAATTTCTCCCATTTCAAAATTAGGGAAGGGTCATTCAGGGCTCAAAGTGTGAAACAAACTTAAAAAAAATATTTTAAAAAAGTATTAATACAAACTTTTTATATGGCTAGCCTCTCTCACCCAGAGATCCACAGAGGAGCAGTCATCTTCCTTCAGACAGCGCGAGGCGCGTCTTCTCAAAGTCTTACCTTTAATTGCTCCTTTATACACACAATAAAAAAATCCTTAGTACTATATTTAGGAACCTCTCAATCTGACTTCATTTTTCTACTCTCTGCCTGCATTTCACTGCATGCCTGCATGCCACCTCCTCTTAAACGCATTGCTCACTGATTTCTCTGGCGACACTGTGGCTGCTTTTCATGCAGAATTTATGCTGTGCTCTTCGCCTAACTTTCCTCCCATCGCCACCACTCACTCATTGCTCCTCACTTCCATTGGTTACATCCAACATTAACATCTAGAATGGCCTCTGAGGACTTCAACATCGCCAGCCCCCACCCCGTGCTCTCCTTGCCTCCCTGGCTGCAGACGTGTGTCTGTATGTATGGACGCCTGCTTCCCTATGCAGGATGAACTGCGTGGTCCATTCGCTACATCTCTACTTCTCTTATACAATTCAAATAGAAGCCAATTAGAAGGTATTTGTTGAATTTAGAGATTTTTTTGGGGGGGTGGAGAGAGAAAAACATATATGCACACATGATTAAGTCATTTGTTTTCTTCAGAATAATTATGTTGGGTCAGTAACAATTTTATGAGTTTGTTGACCATATTGTGCTTAACTGCATTTTCCCAAGATCACTTGTGTTTACACACATGAAATTATCATTTCAAAGAAGGATTGATCAATTTAATAGCTATTCCACAAAAATCTAAAATTTGACAGTGTTAAGTAATACAAACTATTTGGTTAGTTGATTAATAGTTAATAAATATGTGATAAATTTTTATTTTTATTCATTTTAGAGTGTGTATGGAAATTTTATCCCTATTTGGCCTTTATTGATGCCATACCAATGCACATTTTACCCACTCACGTGTTTTATTATTTCTGAGTTTAGAGGAATATACGATGACTTTTCTCTCCCCATCCTCTACCCCAGCAGGCTGCTGTGATTGTCAGCAGCAGCAGGATCCACTTTGAAGTTTTGATAAAAGCAGATGAAGATGCTTAAAGATGTCTGTTTGCTGAAAATATCTGATTACAAACAGGAATATATGTGAGTAAATAGAGTGCATTATTCTGATTTTTAAAATAAATTTTTTAAGACACCTAACTGGCTGTTAAGGGTTTCGTTTTGTCCTGGTATGTGGATTTATTTTGGTGCATTTTCAGTTAAAACGATAACAAATTTAGAGATGATTTTTAAATATTAATCTTTATTTTTCACAAGTAAAAACGAAACTGGCTTGCCCTGACTGGGTGGCTCAGTTGCTTGGAGCTTCTTTCCAAAAGGTTGAGGGTTTGATGCCTCGTCAGGGCCCACACCTAAGCTGCAAGTTCAGTCCCCTGTCAGGGCATGTATGGGAGGCAACGATTGTTGTTTCTCTCTAGCATTGATGTTTCTCTGTCTCTCACTCCCTCTCTTCCCTCCTTCCCTCCTTTCCGTCTCCCTTCTGTCTCTCTCTCAAATCAGTGAACATATCCCCAGGTGAAGATTTAAAAAAACTTTTTTTAAGAAACTGGCTTAATTTAGGATGTCAGATCTGAACTATTTGTATTAGCACAAAGGATACTCATACCTTACCACTATGCCCTTATTAATTTATAGTAAGTCCAGTTCTCCCTATTAACCTAGTTCGGCCCTGACTACGAAGGATGAATAGCTAGCTGTTTATTACAGTAATGGACATGCTCACTGGCTGAGGATAGAAGAAGAAAACAAAATGGGGATTAATTTAAGCATTGGAGAAATAGTCTCTTCTTTTTTGATATCATGTTCTGCTTTGATTTCCATGATACTAATCCTTCCTGTCACTTATATTTTCCATTACTACTTTTCAGTCTCTATTGGCTATTTCTTTACTGCCAAGTACTTAAATTTGGGTTCTCAAGGTTCTATTCTTGGTCATCTTCTCAATTTTACTCTCTCTCTAGGAAAAGCTATGTGTTTTTGTGAGTTCAGTCACTATACTCAGACTGGTAATTCGAAAACACGTGAAAGAGACTCATTAAATGGTAGATGTTACCATTACCTGTGTTTCTAGTTCTTACTCATTTCTTAAGCTTTAATAGTGTTTTCTTAATTCCCCATTATATATCTATACCAGGGTGGCCCACAGTCCTTGGGAGCTCAAATATCCCAATATTAAATCATTTATATTTTCTTTTTCTACATCTCCTTCCTGCCTGCCCTTTAAAATCTGCTCTTCCTCCAGGATTCTCTGTTGCACTGTGCAGCTGGCACTGCAGCCAGAAGACCTCGGGACATCCTCAGCTGCTCATCTCTTTTCTTTAGTTATTGTCCAAAAGTCTTATATGCACTTATATAAAAGAAAACTGCAGATCAATGTCTCTTGTGAGTATAGATGCAAAAATCAATAAGCACCACTGCACACTCATTAGGATGGCTATTATAAAAATTAAAAAGAAACAGAAAATAACAGATGTTAGTGATGAGGTGGAGAAATTGGAACCCTTGTGCATTGCTGGTGAGAATGTAGAATGGTACAGCTGCTGTACAAAACAGTATGGGAAGTTCCCGACAAAAATGAACAGAACTGTCATTATAATCCAGCAATTCCACTTCTAGATATATACCCAAAAGAATGGAAAGAAGGGACTTGAATAGGTATTTGTACACTAATGTTCATAGCAGCATTTTTCACATAGCCAAAAGGTGGAAACAACCCAAATGCCCATTGATAGATGAATGGATAAACAAAATGTGGTATATGCATACAAGAGAATTATTCAACCTTCAAAAGGAAGGGAATTCTGAGATATGCTTTATCATGGAATCTTGCAAATATGCTGAATGAAATAAGCCTGACACCAGGGGGCACATATTATATGATTCTACTTACATGAGATACCTAGGGTAATAAAAAAGTAGAATAGTGGTTACCAGGGACTTGAGTGGAGGAGAACGACAAGTTAGTGTTTAACGGGTCCATAGTTTGAGTTCAGGATGATAAAAATGTTCTGGAGATGGTTCGCGGTGATGGTTTGCACAACAATGTGAGTGTACTTAATGCCACATACATATATTGCGGTAACAGTGAAAAATTGGAAACTAAATTTTTTAAAATGTCATTTACAGTAACATAAAAAACATGAAAAACTTAGGGATTAATCTAACAAAGTCACACAAAGTTTGTTCAAAACATTGCTGAGAAGAAGAAAGGACCTCAGTTAATCGAGAGAGCAACCATGTCCATGGATTGAAAAATTCGATACTGCTCAGCAGTCAGTTCTCAAATTGATATCTATCTACCACGGAATCCTAATAAAAAATTTCAGCAGATTATTTTTTTTTTGAAGATTGACAAGTATATTCTAAAGTACATATGGAAAAACAAAGACCTTGAAGAGGCAAAACATATTAAGGAAAAAGAACAAAGTTGAAGGATTTATATTACCTAATTCACAATTGACTTTTAAGCCAAATAAGCCAGTGTGATGTGAAACATACATAAACTCTCACATCCCAAAAGGTGACAAACAACCCCTTTAAAATGACCAAAGGAGTTCATGGGCGAAGAAGTTGGTAGGCAAATGAGAAGATGTATGATGGTACATAAGCACATGAAGGATGTGCAACATCATTAAGAAAATACAAATTAAAACCACAGTAAGACAGCACAACAAAACACAAGAATAGCTGAAATGAAAACTGGTAACACCAAGTGCCAATGAGGATGCACAGCAGCTCCTATGTTGTTGGTATGAATGCAAAATGATAGTCATTTGGAAAACAATTTCTCATTAACATATACAGAGGTAGACAAAATGGGGTTCACAGTTGTGAGTACATGGAAGTTTATTCTTGTATTTTTATTTATTAATCATTGCATTATTTTCCATACAAACAACA